GTGTGAGCCAGTTCCTTATAATCTCTCTCTAGATAGGCCCATATTTCCTGTTGGTTCTCTGTCTTCCAATCTGTGAACTTGATGTCTTGCAGTTATTTGGGACTTTTAAACTTTTTGGGGGTGTCCTGGGACTTGAACTCAGGGCCTTGGCTCTGTCCCTGAGCCTCTCTGTGCTCAAGGCTAGCCTTCTACCACTTGAGCTGCAGTACCACTTCCGGCTTTTTCTGAGTGGTTTATTGGAGATAAGAGCCTCACAGGCTTTCCTGCCTAGACTGGCTTTGAACTTCAGTCCTTAGATCTCAACCTGCTAAGTAGCCAGGATTACAGGTGTAAGCCACTAGTGTCAGGCTAGACTTAACTTCTGCCAGGCTAGACTTAACTTCTGATAGACATATATGATCATTTTCATTTATTTCTAAGTATTTTATTCTTTCAGATGCTATTGTAAATGAAGTTGTTTTCTCATTTTCCTTTTTGATTTTTCATTCTTATTGCATAGAAGCCCTGTTGGTTTTTGCATGTTGACCTTATGCCCTGCAGGATTGCTGAATTCGTTTAGTCGTTCTAGTAACTTTGTGTGTGTGTGTGTATGTGTGTATTTGGGAGTCTGGGGATTTTTCTATATGTAGGATCATGTCAGAAGTCAATAGAGATGGCTTAATTTTTTTTCTTCCATTTTTGAGGTCTTATTTTTATTTCTCGCCTAATTCATTTGGCAACTTCTGGGAAGATGTCTTACTTCTGTTTCTTGCTTAATTGATCTTGCAACCTATGGGAAGATGTCTGATAGCAGGGATGAAAATGGACATTCTTTTCTTAACCCTGGTTTTAGGGGAATGCTTTCAGTCTTTCACCATTGAATAAGATGTGTTACTTAAATTTTTTTTCATTTTTTCATTTTCATTTTCATTCTGTATCATGCTAGGAAATTCCCTCTATTCCTAGTTTTCTGACTTAAAAAAATCATGAATGAGTGTTGGATGTTATTAAATGCTTTTCTGCATCCACTAAGGGGTGCATATTTTCACCATTCATTTGATCATGTGATGTGTTGTTTGCATGTGTGTATGTATGTATTTATTTATTTATTTTTCAGGTAAGGGGTTGGTTTATTCAGTAGACCTGCTGGGACCAGGCCAGGTTGGCCCTGCACGTGGCTGGGAAAGGCCTGAGAAAGAGCTGGGAAAGAGAGGTGGGAAAGAGAGAGCTGGATAAAAGAGCTGAGAAAGAGAAGTGGGAAAGAGGAGAGCTGGGAAAGAGAAGAGAGAGCTGGGAAAGAGATAGCTGGGAAAGAGCTGGGAGAGAGAAGAGACGAGAGCTGGGAAAGAGAAGAGAGCTAGAAAAAAAGAGCTGGGAGAGAGAGAGCTGAGAAAGAGAGAGCTGGGAAAGAGAGCTAGAAAAGAGCATGTATGTATTTATTTTTTAGACAGGGTTTCCTGTATAGTCCAGGCTGGCCTGGAACTCATTACTGTCCTTGAGTGTACATACCTGGCTTTCCTTCTGTGGTGCTGGAGATGGCATTCTGTTCAACATCCTCTGCAAATACTTGACTGAGCTTTAGCTCCATTCTTGGAGGTGTTATGAGTATGTCCTACCTTCCTGCTTTCCCTGGAAGCACTCTGCCTTTCTCATCACACCTGCTTTGCTCAGTAGTTCTTTGACTCAGTTTTTAGGATTCTTTCCCTAGTTGCATCCCACTTAGAACCAGTTGTTCATATGTGGGAGATTTATGTATTCAAGTACCTCCCCTGCCATAGCTCTCCTTGCTGAGGATCCATTGTTCATCCTTTGAAGTCAGAGCTCATCCTGACATTTAGTCCCCTTTGTAATCCAGTGACACATCATCACTCTGATCTGTTATTTATCAAAAATAGAAAGTACACACCGGAGGCTCACCTAATAAGAACTTAAAATTTTACTGTTCTTAGATTTCTAAAACTTGAAGATATAAATCTGATGTCTTACCTTTCCCTGATATTTTCCTAGTTTCTCAGTTAGTGCTAGCCAGGTATAACTAAACATGGTATATTCTTTAATATTCTTTAATTTTCAGAGTTGAATGTCATGTCAAGGTGTTGGCTTCCAAGCCCCACTGCTCAGAATTAGTTGGGCATGTATATAAGCAAATGAACAAAGAAGAAATGTCTTAATGTAATTCAAGGAAAGAAGAAATGTATGGGGCATTATGTACATTAGGAAAAAAATATGGAATAGACATGGAAAGATAAAGACAGATATGTATACATATAAAACGTACATATATATAGAAAAAGATTTATAACAAAGATATGTAACTGTTTTTTTCTTTTCTTTTTTGTCGGTTGTGGGGCTTGAACTCTGGGCCTGGGCTCTGTCCCTCAGTTCTTCTGTCAAGACAAGCCACAGCACCACTTCTGGTTTTCTGGTGGTTTATTGGAAATAAAGAGTCTCATGGATTTTCCAGCCCTTGCTGGCTTTGAACTGCAATCCTCAGATCTCAGCCTCCTGAGTAGCTAGGATTACAGGCATGAGCCACTGGTACCCAGCTCTAACATTCTTCATAGAGGTAACCCCTGGGGAATAAAAACTGACTAGGGAAGTAAAGGAAGTTTTGTTTTGTATTGTTGGAATTTTCTTTCTTTTTTTTTTTTTGTCGGTCGTAGGGCTTGAACTCTGGGCTTGGGTACTGTCCCTCAGCTTTTCAGCTCCAGGCGAGTGCTCTATGCTTGAGCCACAGCACCGCTTCTGGTTTTCTAGTGGTTTATTGGAGATAAGAGTCTCACAAAGCCGGGCGCCAGTGGCTCACACCTGTAATCCTAGCTTACTCAGGAGGCTGAGATCTGAGGATCGAGGTTCAAAGCCAGCCCGAGCAGGAAAGTCCGTGAGACTTTTATCTCCAATAAACCACTAGAAAACTGGAAGTGGTGCTGTGGCTCAAGGGGGTAGAGTGCTTGCCTTGAGCTGAAGAGTGCAGGGACAGTGCCCAAGCCCAGAGTTCAAGCCCCACGACCGACCAAAAAAAAAAAAAGTTTCACAGACTTTCCTGCCGGGGCTGACTTTAAACTGCAATCCTCAGATCTCAGCCTCCTGAGTAGCTAGTATTACAGGCGTGAGCCACCGGCACCTGGGTGTTGTTGGGAATGTGGGAAAAGGTAAAATATCTTTTAAAAAGTAAATAATGGTAAGTGCTTATTTCTTGCTTTAAGAGCGGCTACATTCTAAAATGTTTCAAATGCTTCTTGAAATTTTAAGGCACTTGGCTGACTGAAACAGGCTTTTTTGGAATCATATACTGACTTGCTTTGCTGCCTTAATCTGTTGCCTAAGTGACATCACTGAATTTCTACCTGTGCTGACCTTTTTTGTCTTTGAGGAAGAATGATTGGAGGCTAGAAATTGGTTTTACACTAGTTATGTGTAAAGTGGCAACAAGAGTGGCTTCAACTTCTTTTTATTCTCACCTGCATGCTCAGTGACACACCCTCTCACCTGACAGGAAAGGACCACCCGAGGGGAAAAGGGTGGTGACCAAATTTCCACAAAGTCTCTGTCCCTTCTCAGAAAATACATGAATATTCCTCCCTTTGATTAGCCCTCCCCTTCCTTTCTTTTATTTAGTTTATAACTTCCCACCATCTGAATGGGTAGTCTGGCTCCTGTTTCTATCTAGGCTCACTTGGTGCCCATTCTTGTTATTGGTTCCTCAGTTCTGAGAGGGATAAAGAACCCAATTTGAATCAACACTGGCCATATTTGTATCATTCACATAAGCTTATCAGGTATCCTATATTTAAAGAATGTCGTTGTATCCAGGATAAGTTATTGATCATTTTTTATCAGTTCATCATGACTACCTTAAATTTCTTCCCTAGGAATAATTTGGACCTAGAGAACATTGTTATTAGAAGAAACTAAAGGAAAAAAAAAATCAGTGGTTTCCCTGTTTGGGGGGAGTTGGTAGGGTTAGTGACAGTCTCAGATTAATACAAGAATTTCTGGAGTTCCTTTCTTGGGTGTTGACATTTATTTTAAAATTGAAGCATCAAATCTTTTAACTTTCATTTGTTTGGGGGTTTTTGGTGGTACAGGGGTTTGAATTCGGGGCTTGATTGATGCTTGCTAAGAAGGCACCCTGCCACTTGAGCCCCAGTCATCAGATCTTGACCTTTGAAGGGAGTTTAATTAGGCCACACTTTTGTAATTCTTTGCAGTCAAAGAACATTTTATCAACCACTTGGTTTTTAATTTAGAAAAGTCTCCCTAAAACTACACAAATTAAGATCAGGAAATATATGTAGCACCCTTGTTTGAAAGAATGCCATAATCTAGAAAGTACCTCATCTGAAGGCTAAATGAAATGTTAAAGATGAGTAATTGGTAGTGTTGCTTTATTTAATCAGTTTTATGTGTTGGTTGTTGGAATTAACCAATTATTGTTAGGGAAACTTGGTAGCTTAATTTTTTTTTTTTTATTGTCCTGATAATCCTGTGCATTGCTTGTTGTGAAGGGAGTTGTCTTTGCTTTAAAAAACTGTTCTCATGGTAGTCTGGAGTGCATTGAAGTCTCAGTTTGAGCCTTTAATGTTGGCATATCTATCTTCACTGCCTCAGGGCAGGAAAAGAGAGTACTTTTTGTTTTGTGAAAACTGTGAATTTAGCCAAGGAAGTGCAAACCTGTTTGCTCTTGCCAATTATTTGACTTCATTGTGACTGAGCTGAGTACAGGCTTTGTCTTGTCTCCTCCTGGGTGTGTACTTCATGCAGCAGTGTAGTTAGAACAAGTTAATATTTAAATTTGTTTTTCCGCGAAGTCCAAGAGAAACAGTGAGTAATAACTATAACCATCCTAATGAATCTAGTTTGTCATTGTAAAACTGATATTTAAATGTGTTGTATTTGTCAGGACTTGGGGTATGGGTAGCTTAGTTCTATATGTGTATCAGGAGCATAGCATAAGCCTTGTGGAATCAGTCTTAGAGCTATCTTAGATTTATCTTTATGTTTTGCTTTTTTTGAGACAGGCATTTGGTATGTAACCCAGGCTGGTATTGAACCTATCCTTCTGCCTCATGCTGGGAATACAGGTGAGCACTACCATGCCCACCTATGATTTTAGTTATTTATTTATTTAGAGAAAAGTCTCCATATGTAGCTCAGACTGTCCTCAAACTCATGATTTTCCAACCTCAGCCTCCTCAATGGAGGGATTACTTGCTTGGCTGATTTTATCTTTTGGATTTTTTTCCCCCAGAAATTGGGGTTATGGGGAGACCGGACTGGAGTTTGAACTCTTTGCTAGGTTGGGATCTACCACTTGTACATTTACTGTCATCTAGTGACAGACAGGATGTAGTTGTCACTAGCTCCACACTCTGAATGTGGTCCTAGCTATTCCTCCTATGGCCAGCATAATCAGTCACATGCTCTGTTAGCACTACATGGTTCTCTTGGCATTTTAGGTACACTTTGCCAGGCGACCATGGCTCACACCTGTAATACTAGCTACTCAGAGGCTGAGATCTGAGGATCACAGTTCAAAGCCAGCCTAGACAGGAAAGTCCCTGAGACTCTAGTTAACTATCCCAAAAAGCTGGAAGTGGAACTGTGGCTCAGTGGTAGGGTGCTAGGCTTGAGCAAAAAGCCCACTTGAAGCCCTAGGGCTGAGACACACACATATTCACACATGCAAAAAGATTATATTTGCAGCAGCATTGAAAGAAAAAAAGAATAGAGAAAGAGACATGGAGACAGAAGAGCAAAGTATAAATTTGATTTTCTGTGCAGCATAATGTTTATTACTAAAAGAATGAAGCTGGATGCCAGTGGCTCATGCCTGTAATCCTAGCTACTCAAGAGGCTGAGATCTGAGGATCATGGTTCAAAGCCAGCTGGGCAAGAAAGTCCATGAGTCTCTTAGCTCCAATTAAACACCAGAAAACTGGAAATGGCACTGTGGCTCAAGTGGTAGAGTGCTAGCCTTGAGCTGAAGAGCTCAGGGATAGTGCCCAAGCCCAGAGTTCAACCCTCCACAACTAACAACAAAAAGAATGATTCCTGTTTCAAGGTTTTCTATATAGCACCAATCAAATACTTTGTTACCTAGAGAGGAAGGTACCATAGGGTATTCAAGCTAGCTTAGTTTTTTTTTTGTTGTTGTTGGTCATGGGCCTGAAATCTGGGCCTCTGCACTGTTCCTCAGCTATTCAGCCCAGGCTGGTGCTCTACCATTTGAGCCACAGCACAACTTCTGGCTTTTTCTGCTTATGTGGTGCTGAGGAATCGAACCCACGGCCTCATGCATGCAAGTCAAGCACTTTACCACTGAGCCACCTTCCCAGCCCAACTAGGTTAGTTTTGATATTGAGAAATACACAGAATTGCCTGTCACAGGCCCCAGGCAGCACATTTGGGACATGGTTGTATTGTTCAACAGAAATGTGTCTCCTAGGACTCATGCATTGTGTCTGAGTTTAAGTGCCAGCAGTTTTTCTTAATTTATAACTGATGGCACCATTGGTGAGTCAAGTAGTTTTTATCTCTCTACTTCCTGATGGTAGCTTGCTTAAAACAGATTGTACTGCTGTTTTCTTAAACAGGAAATTTGTAAAGATACAAAGATCAAGGTCAAATTCAGGAATATGATGTTTGTTCAAAGTGTCTCCTATTTTCTTGTCTTCTCACCTACAGTTTTGTGAGGCAGGCTGAATCAAATCCTAGTCCCCTCTCCTTGCTAACAGTAACTTGGGAAGTGACTTCACCTTTTCATAACTCAGTGGTCTGTCATGTGACCATGATGCCTGTTTCACAGATCTGTTGTTACAGGGTTAAATGAATTAATAACAAAGTACTTAGAATAGTATCAGTAGCAGCAAACCCTGGTTGATCATAGGGCTTGAATGGGGCCTGGGTGCTGTCCCTGAGTTCTTTGCTCAAGGCTAGTGCTCTTCTACTTTGAGCCATAGCGCCACTTCTAGTTTTCTGTTCTTTACATGGAGATAAGTTTTCTTTTCTGCCCCATCTGGCTTTGAACTGTGGTCCTCAGATCTCAGCCTCCTCAGTAGCTAGGTTTATATTCATGAGCCACCTGCACCCGGTTTGATAAACTGTTTCTGTGTATGTGCATGCACAAGCTGATGCTGTCTTAAACTCAGGACTTCTGGAACTTTGGATCCAAATAGATATCTACATTTTTATACAGTTAAATCAAGTGGGATTACAATTCATTAGGAGAAATATCTCATAAAAAATTGACATGCTATTTTTCAGTTTTTTGCCAAGGCTAATTTTTAACACCTGTTATTCTGGTATATTCTCCCCTCCCCTCCCCACAGTGACTGGCTTTGAAGACTGCTAGTCTCAGCACTCAGCAGGGTGTCTTCCCATTTCTGGGCTCTGACTGTAGCCTCTGACCAGAACAAGAACTATGTGAATGCTTTTTGAGGACTGGAGAGGGGTGTTTCAATTAGTTATTCCTACTTGTGGATACTTACATGTTGCATTATGGGGCCCTCAGCTGTTGAAGAACAGGGGATACTGTTTCTGTTACAGCTGGCAGTAAATGCAGGCTGTCTCTCAGACACAGTTGAAGTTAGTGGCAAGACATCAAATACTGAATAAGGACTGAATTCTAGCATAACCTTTGCTAAGGTAAATCTAGAATTAGATTTCTTCTCTCTGAATTAATTTTCAGCTATATTGTTGTCAGTATTCATTTAGAAGATAACTGGGTCTCCAATTGGGCCAGCCAGTTGTTTTAAAGTGAACTGTAGATAAGTTGACTACTGTGTCAAATGAGAGAAGATGCACGGTGAAGATTTGAGGCTGAAACAGATCATAAACTCAATAAGCGTATCTGGAAGCTAACCAGTTAAAACATTCCATAGCTCATTCTTCTGAATTTATACTACCTACTACTTGAGAAAACTCCTGCTTTAGCTATACTTTTGTTACCAAACCTTAACTTTTAAATATTACATTAGTTATACTGATCATTTGTTAATTACATGATTGGAAACTTAATGTCAGTGAAAAATGACACACACCAATGGCATGTGCAGTAAAGCTTAAAATAGATGCTCTTCACATGCACACGTGTTTTATGATCTGTGACCTATTTATGCTTTGCCTACACAGAGGAAAACCTGATGCACTTTAAGCGACCATTAGGGCTGAAATACTACATAAAAATGTTTTTAGATTCATATTTCTTTCATAAGTGCCTGAATTATCTTCCATAATTAGATGTTGAAATGAGTAATAGATTTGACATTTTAGAATTCATCTGACCATCAGTACCTTGTTAAATGGAGCTTGTTAAGTTTAAAGACCCAGGCTTTCCTATCCCTGTGTATCCAAGTTTACTTTCTGACTGACATGTATCTGTTTTGGTTTTCCTCAACTACAGAGCTGCCAGATGCTGTTAAATCAACTGAGAGAAATCACAGGCATTCAGGATCCTTCCTTTCTTCATGAAGCTCTCAAGGTTGGTTTCCAGACTGCTCTTACTCAGAAGGCTTTAAAACAGTTGTCCATGCCATAGCTTGTCAATGGAAGCTATTTTTAATGCTACAAGAATGCATTGGGACAGAAGCTCTTCACGTCAAATGGCCCAGCTTATTTAACCTGTAAATTGTAAGGAGTGAGGGAAATCTGCAGGGTTAAGGAAATCAAGAGTCATACTAACCAATTTCATTAGCAGATTTTATATGGATCCCGATTGAAGGCAACAAACCATACAATATTTTAGACGGGAGACTTTGAATTGCTTATTGTTTATTAAAAAATTACTAATCTTAAGGTATGATGGAGTAGTTTTAAGGATTGTGGATTATAGTTAAAAGGTACATTATGATATGTTGACCAATAAAATGCTAAAATGCTTAGGATTTACTTCAGATATCTAGGAGAGGGGAAGGCAGGTAGATAAGACCAGACTGCTTATAAATGAGTAATTGTTAGCCGAGCACTGGTGGCTCACGCCTGTAATCCTAGCTACTCAGGAGGCTGAGATCTGAGGATCGCGGTTCAAAGCCAGCACGGGCAGGAGGGCAGGAGAGACCGTGAGACTCCTATCTCCAATAAACCACCTGAAAACCGGAAGTGGCGCTGTAGCTCAAGTGGTAAAGCGCTTGCCTTGAGCTGAAGAGCTGAGGGACAGCGCCCAGGCCTAGAGTTCAAGCCCCACGACCGACAAAAAAAAATAAAAATAAATGAGTAATTGTTGAAACCAATTGAGATGGCATTATGAAAAGATATTCATTCTGCTATTGTATATTTTAGAGATTTTTATTTTTTATCTTTAAGTAGTTGTACAAAGAAGTTCCCATTCTGCAAAACAGTATATGAGTACAAAGTATCTGACAACATTGTCACCCATCTCTCTTAACCCATGAGATTTTTTTCTAATAAAAAGCTAAAAACACATATATCACTACTATAGAATATGGCTCTACTGGTTATTTACTATGGAGGCTGACTTCATTTGGAATCAGTGTTCATTACCGTGCCTTAAATATTTTGTGAAATCGAGATCTTTGGAAGTAAGACAACACATTTCCTGCAGGATTCATTGTTTACATGTTGTGGGACATCCAAGTATAGCGGTTACTTTCTGTAACTAGGTATTTGACATACCTTTAAGTGTATCCAGTGCACCGTCTTTGTTCCTGCCCCTTTTGTACTGGGGTTTGAACTTAGGGCTTAATTCTTGCTAGGTAAGCAGTCTACCACTTGGGCTACTTTGATATAGTTATTTTCCAGATAGGCCCTCTCTTTACCCATGTAAGCCTTGGACCACAATCTATTTTCCCCCTCAGCCCTGAGAGGAAAATATGAGCTTTCCTCTAGGAAGAAGTCCAAAGTAAGGCAGGGTTTTTTGTTTGTTTGGGTTTTAGTATTTTTTTTAATGCTAGTACCAGGGCTTAAACTCAGGGCTTTGTACTCTTGCTTGGCTCTCTTGTTCATGCCTGGCTCTCTACTGCTTGGGTCATCCCTCTAGTCTAGCATTTTGATGGTTAATTGGAGATGGAGCCTGGCGCTTTTCTCTTCAGGCTTGCTTTGACCCACAGTCTTCTTATCTCAGTCCCCTGAGACTCTAGAATTACAGGCATGAGCCACCAGCACCCAGCTCATACCACAATCCTATCTATACCTTCCGCATTGTGGGATAATACAGTTGTACCACAATGCCCCTGGTTAAAAATGGGGGAAGGGGGCTCCTGGTAACTTTTTTTTTTTTTCCCCCAGGCTGGCTTCAAAGAGTGATTTTCCCAACTTTTAACCTCTGAGTATCTGGTATTAAAGGCTTGAGCCATCAAGACTGGTCTTTTTTTCTTTTTCTTTTTTTTTGTTTTTGGTCGTTCATGGGGCTTGAACTCTGAGCCTGGGTGCTGTCCCTGAGCTCTTCAGCTCAAGGCTAGTTCTCTACTACTTGAGCCACAATACCACTGCTGGTTTTCTGTTGGTTAATTGGAGATAAGCGTCTCATGGACTTTCCTGCCCAGGCTGGCTTTGAACCATGATCCTTAGATCACTCAGCCTCCTAAGTAGCTAGGATTATAGGCATGAACTACCAGCACCTGACATGGCCTTACTTTTTAATTCAACCTCTGTTGTATTTTAGACATACTCAATTTGTCATCAAGGTACTATGCAGATATCACTAAACACAAAGACAAAAATCACACATGCTCTTTACTTAAATTCTCTGATGCTTTCCTTTTGAGATTTCTGCTATATTTTCTCCTCTTAGGCTAGTAATGGTGACATTACCCAGGCCGTCAGCCTTCTCACTGATGAAAGAGTAAAGGAGCCCAGTGAAGACACTGTTGCTACAGAACCATCGGAAATAGAGGGCAGTGCTGCCAGCAGAGAAGTGTTAGCAAGTAGGTGCTGCTCCCATCCCTGTTCTTCTCCAAGCTAGCAGAAAACAGCGCAGAGTGTGTGTACTTCCCCCTCACATCCCTCAAAGAGCTTGCTGTTGAGCCATCACTGTATGCCAGGCACAGTTCCAAGCTTTGAAGTTTTCTTGTCATGTTCTTCTTTTTCATATTTTCTTTTGAGACGAAGTCTCTATGTGTAGCCCAGGGTAGCCTGAAACTCCTCAGCTTGCTTGTGCCTGCCAATTGCTACCTGTAAGATTACCAGGATGCGTCAGTATGCCTTAGTTTTTGTTTTTTGTTTTTGTTTTCCAATTGTTGGGGGTCTTGAACTTGGCCTGGAGGCTATCACAACTTTTTCACTCAAGGCTAGCGCTCCAGCACTTTGAGCCTCAGCACTACTTCTGGTTTTCTAGTGGTTAATTGGAGATAAATGTCATGGACTTTCCTGCCCAGGCTGGATTCTAAGCAAGATCCTCAGATCTCAGCTTCTTGAGTAGCTTGGATTATAGGTGTGAGCCACTAGCCCCCATCTGACTTAGTCATTCATTAGTACTTATTCAGGGAGCACCAATATTGTGCTAAGTACAATTGCTTCTCTGCCTTCATGTAGCTTATGTTTTACTTGCGGTGGGGGTGGGGAGATCAACAAGTAAATGTAAAAGTATTAGCCTATTACCAGGGAGAGAAAGGAAGAAAGAAAGAAATGGAAGGAAGGCGGGGACTGTGTTTTAGATAGAGCTCAGCTTGTAAGAAGATGCAAGGCAGGGGAGGGAGTAAGTCATGTGAGAGCCAAGGGTGGGAGTGGGTGTTGCTTTATCAGCTTGCTGAAGGAGCTGCCGGGAGGAGAGAACTGAGGCTGGGTGAGTGTAGAGGCACTGAGCCCTTGGAGGGATAGGAGGCGGGTCATGCAGGGCCTCCCTATGTATTGGCTTTTACTGGGAACCCAGTCGATAGCCATTGGAGAGTTGGGATCAGAAGAACAGTGTAACTAGTTTCCATTTGTTGAGGCCTTTCAGATTGCTATGTTGTGCATAGGAGATGAAAGAGGGTGTAGTGAGGAATACAGAATGGTCAGCAAGCCGAGGCTGTGAGGAGGCTACCATACATTACAGTGCATGATGGAAGCTTGGGCCTGGCTGCAGTGCTGGAGAGGTGAGAAGTGCTGGTCTTTGGCTGTATAGTACTCTTTAGATAAAGGCAATGGGTTTGGCGTACAGAGGACAAGCAGGCTATGAGAGAAAGGAGTTAAAGATGATGGTATGCTGGGTCCATTGGTTCGTACCTGTAGTTTCAGTGCTGAAGAGGCAGCGATGGGAAGATCTAGAGTTTTTGGCTGGCTTGAGATGGGAAGAGATCAGTTTTGATACTATCAGATGTGTAGGCAGAGGTGTCTGTAAGGCAGTAGAATCTCAGATGAGCAGTTTATGCAAGAAACCTAGGCGAGAATAGGTAAATTTGCAATTGTGGTGGTTGATAAGTAACACTGGGAGCCTGATAAACTCTCCAGAGAAGCAGGCTCAGAAAAGAGAAAGTTCCCTGACTTAGCACTGCATGCTTTGCTTCTTATTATTCAAATGGATGGAGAGATAGATTTTTTTTTTAATACAGATCTTGCATTCGAGGCTGGTCTTTTTTTTAAGAAATGTATTATTTCACCATTAAGTGTAGGTTTGTTGTGGGATTCTCATGGGTGGTCTCTTTCAGACTGAGAATATTCTTTTCTCTTTAAAGTTAGCTTGGAGTTTTTACCTAAAAGTTAACAAATATTTTCTTCAGTTGCAATTGAAATGATCGTGATCAGTTTTAAAAACTGTTTAGTGATATAGTTTCCTAATATTAACTCAGCATTCTTACAGTTGACTTGGTCTTAACTTGGAAATTAACTTGGTCTTAAAAGTAATCTTTCTTTTACAATATTGTATTTGCTAACATTTTGAGGTTTTGTATCTTTTGGTCATGTGTGAGCTTGTCATTTTTCCTTTCTCTTAGCTATTCTTAACTAGTTTCTGTAAGCATGTACTGGGTGTCCAATAAACTCACTTAAAGTGTGTTAAATAGGTTCTCCATTCTCTAGATGAGTTCCGGATTCAGAAGTTCTTCCTTAAATGTTCTACATTAAGCGGATATTTTATAGAGCCTATAAATAGAGGTGCAAGTTATATTTTTGAGTTTGTGGAAGGAGATTACAGAAAGAATATTTGATTTGTTGCATTTTACTGGCTTATTTCTCTACTGTTGGTCAGTGTAAGGTTACAGTGTAGCTATAAGTTATTCGTTTGACTCAAGGACAGAGTAGTACAATTGTTCTTGCACAAATGTGCCATTGTGGTAAGAGCTTAGGGAGTATATCTGATATGGGGAATGTTTTTACTTTTTTTTAGTCTGCAGACAGAGAGGCAGTTTCTTGCTTGTGGACTAATTAAATTTCTATTTATTTTAAAGAAGTAATAGACCTTACTCATGATAACAAGGATGACCTTCAGGCTGCCATTGCTTTGAGTCTTCTGGAGTCCCCCAAAATTCAAGCTGATGGAAGAGATCTTAACAGGTTATTCCTTTAATTTATAATATTTGTGTGTAGCTCAAAGTAATAGTCTGGAAATGCCCATCAGGGTCAATTATGCCAAGCTTTTTTAAAGGTACCTGAATAAAATCCCTCCCTTCCTTCTTTCCTTTCTCCCTCTTCTCTCTCCACCTCTCTCTCTCCTTCCCTAGCTCTTTCCCTCTTCTCTCTACCTTCCTCCCAGCCTTACAGTCTTCCTTTTTTAAAAAAATAAAAAATTGAATTGATTATGGTACTATGGTTTGAATTCAGGGTTTTGCACTTACTAGGCAGGTTCTCTATCAGTTGAGCCATATCCCACCCCTTTTCTTTTTTTGAGACAGGATCTTACTATGTAGCCCAGGTTTTGCCTTGAACATGTGATCCTCCTGCTGCCTTAGTACTAGGATTATGTAACTAGGAGCACTGAATAAGATTTAAGGAGGAACAGTACACACTAGCCTACTTTACTCTTTGGAGTCAGTTTTGAAAAAGCCAAATATACGATGGTCTTATCGCAGTCTACAGTATTTTGTTGTTTTGTTGTTTTTTTATGGTTTGGGAGTTTGTACTCAAGGCCTTGAGCTTGCTAGGCAACCTTCTACCACTTGAGCCATGCCCCTAGCCTTTTTTGCTCTGGTTATTTTTGAGGTAGTGTTGCATTTTGCCATAGTCTGAAGTCTCAATTCTATCTCATCAGAATCCCAATAGTAAAAGTCTCTTGTGAAACAGTTATTGTTTCTGTTTAAACTTTGCTTTTTACTTACATTCTAATCTTTTTGGTGGTACTAGCATTTAGTTTCAGGTCTTGTTCTTGCTAGGCAGGCTCTACCTCTTGAGCTTCATCTGCTACCCCCCACTTAAACTTTTATCTTTCAGCAGCCACCAAAGCCATTGATTACACAGTAAATAGTTTCTAGGCATTTTGTTTTCTAGTAAATAAAACATTGCCAGAAAAACACACAGACTTCCAGGTACAAATAACAAAGAAAAGGTTTATTGTCAATAGAGACCAACCAGACCCCCCCTCTCACCAGAGGGAAGTACAGGCTATTGTCTCAGGTAGCCTTTTATAACCTCCTAGGTTTGGGAGATCTTGCTCCTTATATGGTTATAGCTGCCCCAAAGGTGTGCCTTCAGGTGACCCATATGACCTGTGAGGTTTAGGTGATCTTGCTGCCTTATATGGTTATAGCTGTCCCAGAGAAGAGTCCTCTCAGGTGAAGGGGGTAGAGGCTAATCATTTACTGCCTTTACTAAATGGGCCTAGTGTTGCCTTGGTAAAGAGCATGCTTTGAGAGGGCTACCGGGCCAGCATTTTATATAGTCTTGGAAAAATTGCTGACATCCTCTACACTGTTGTTAAACTATTTTTTGTTTTGACTTGTGGTTGTTGGCACAATATAGGATGCATGAGGCAACCTGTGCAGAAACTAAACGCTCAAAGAGAAAACGCTGTGAAGTCTGGGGAGAAAACCCCAATCCCAATGACTGGAGGAGAGTCGATGGTTGGCCAGTTGGGCTGAAAAATGTTGGCAACACATGTTGGTTCAGTGCTGTTATTCAGGTATGTTTTGTTTTTGGTCTTTACTAGGGCTAAACCTCAGGGCCCTGTGTTCTTGCTTGGCTTTTTTGCTCATAGCTAGTACTCTATCATTTGAGCCACATCTCCAGTCCAGCTTTTTTTGGCTGGTAATTGAAGGTAGAATCTCACAGACGTAAAAAAGTCATTCTGGGCTGATTTTACTGAGCCCTCCAACCTTTTGAGTAGATAGGATTATAGGTGTGAACCACCAGTATCCAGCTAGGTATGATATATTTTGTTTTTTTTTTTTATTTTTATTTTTTTTTTGTCGGTCGTGGGGCCTGAACTCTGGGCCTGGGCACTGTCCCTCAGCTCTTCACCTCAAGGCTAGCGCTCTACCACTTGAGACATAGCACCACTTCCGGCTTTTTTCTGCTTATGTGGTGCTGAGGAATCGAACCCAGGGCCTCATGCATGCAAGGCAAATGCTCTACCACTGAGCCACCTTCCCAGCCCAAAGGTATGATATATTTTAGAGACCAGTGGTGCCTTCTGAAAGTAATTTTGTAGTTTATTTAATTCAAATGTGAAAATATAAACCTCAATAAAATCAAAAGTTTTATGAAACTGGTTTGTCTTTATTGTAGCATTCTTTTTTTTTTTTTTTTTTTTCGGTTGTGGGGCCTGAACTGTGGGCCTGGGCGCTGTCCCTGAGCCCTTCAGCTCAAGGCTAGCCCTTTACTACTTGAGCCATAGCACCATTTCCAGCTTTTTCTGTTTATGTGGTGCTGAGGAATCGAACTCAGGGCCTCGTGCATGCAAGGCAAGCACTCTTACCACTGAGCCACCTTCCCAGCCCCTATTGTAGCATTCTTATAGTTGATGTTGTGTTTTTTGGGATTCCATGCTCTGATGTCCAAAATGGGCAGTCTTGAAAATAAAATCTGTGGTTGTAAATATAATGAATAAGAGTTTAGGGTCAGCATCTACTGAATGCTGTTGAATGTAGACTGAAGTAGAGGTAGTAAAAGGGCTTTAGGTCGGGAAGTAAAGCATTCTTGAGGTATTGAATAGAACAAACCTGTAGGATTTGGTGAACTGTGTATATGCGAGAGAGTTGAAGAAGACTTACAGGCTTTTGAAATAGAGTGAAAAAGACAGATGTGTTTTTACAAATTTTTTTTGAGGTGAGGTGGACAAAACTAACTAAAAAACTAACTGGATGATTAACTGGCTAAATAAACTTACAGGCTGTATTAGTCTGTAATTGGTCCAGTAGAAAACAGCCAGGTGCTAGTGGCTCATGCCTATAATCCTAGCTACTCAGGAGGCTGAGAGCTGAAGATCATGGTTCAAAGCCAGCCCATGCAGGAAAGTCCCATGAAACTTACCTCTAATTAGCCACCAGAAAACTGGAAGTGATGCTGTGGCTCAAGTGGTAGAGTACTTGCCTTGAGCTGAAGGGCTCAGGGACAGCACCCAGGCCCAGAGTTCAAGCCCCACGACCAACCTCCCACCACCCCACCCCACCCCACCCCACCCCCCAAAAAAAAGGAAAAGAAAAGAGAAGGTAAGATTGGAATTGCTAAAGGAGATATAGTAGGGATGCTAGGAAGGTCTAGCTAAGGGGAGGTCCAGGAGAGAACACGTCAGATTGGAGAAAAGTATTACAAGTGAAGAAATCCAGAGTAACAGCCCTAAGGTATGAATGGGCTTGATGTGTTCTTAGAACATCGAGGAGTCCTGAGTGGCCAGACCTTAAGAGCAATGGGAAGACTCACTGCAAATGACATTCCACATGTGGTGAGGAGTTCCAGAAGGTCGGGCAGAAGCCATTGCATTTATCTTCTTGATGTGATGGTGGCTTGGACCATAGAAGTAGAGAAGTATTTGGATTCTTGTTTTTGCTCAACCCTGCTCTGTCTGTCTGTCTTGTACTGGAGTTGGAACTCAGGGACTTGCACTTGATAAGAAGGTGCTGCACCTCTTGAGCCATGCCTCTTGCCCATGGATCTGTGGTATATTCTGAATACGGGGCTTAAGATATCCTCATGGGTGTTGACTGATGTCACCTTGGAACATGGCAGAACTTGGAATTGGAAGGAGAACTGTTAGCAGGTTAAGTACTCAGTAAGCTTCTGTGTGAGCTTAACTTCAGATGTATTAAGGAGTTGTCAGAAGAACCTGTAGCAAATGAGTTGGTAGATGGGGAGTTCTAGAGACAGGGAGATCAGGTGAGCGGTGGTCTAAGCAAGCAATGAAGGCCTCTGTGAGCTGGAAGAGCAGTGATGGTTTAATGGCGAGATGGAGAGGCGGTAGTAGGGATGGGGAGTAGATATAAAACTCCACTGGTGGAGTTGAAAGACCATGGGGTTTATTGGATGTGAATGCCTAAGGAAGGAAAAGATGAGTCCTACTGATGCTTTGAACTTTGGTGACTGGGGGAAGGGGATGAGGAAGAGGAGGAGGAGGATGTAAATCATACAGAGAAGTGGCCAGCATTTGGTAAAGAACCATATTGATAGTGGGTCATATTAGTTTGCAGTTTTGTGGTTTTGAAAAATAAAGGCATCTTGGGGGAAATTAGCGTTCAACAGAAGTGATGAATTTAGAAGTGACGAGATTATGGGAGGCTACTGAGAATATGAAGCCATATACTCTGGAGAGTATTATGAGGGTCTCCAGCAGAGCAGGAATAAAAGTGTGCTGTATAAACCCATGAGCTGGGAGGAGGAGAGAAGGGACAACTGAGGGCCAGAAGCATGCAGCTCACCCGGCCCTACTAGCATGGGCAGTGTCATGGGCCCAGGTACACCTAACCCTGTTGGCAAACTTGCTGAGCAAGTGCTGTGCCACTTGAGTCATGCACCCAGTTCTTTGGTTGTATTTTGGCCTGTACCACAATCCTTTTATTTATGCTTCTCATGGGATGAGAGGTATGTGCCCCCATTCCCAGCCTACTGGCTGAGTTGGCCTTGAACTGCAATCTTCCCAATCTCTGCCTCCAGAGTTACTGGGATTATCAGCAGGAACTACTGTATCTTTCAGTATTATTTTAATAGCAACATAATCGTCTATCGTAGAAATGTAGTAATTTATTTAATCCTCTTATAGGCTTTAGATTATTTCTTTTTACCTAATAGGACTAACATTCATGAATAATAGAAGTAGATTTGTTAGGTTGACAGTGATATACTTAGAAAATAAATACTTCAGATTTCTTTTTATTTTTGCTGTAGTTATTTGGAAAAACAGTTTATGAATTTCTTTCTTCCTTCCAGTCTCTTTTTCAGTTGCCTGAATTCCGAAGACTTGTTCTCAGCTATACTCTACCACAGAATATACTTGAAAACTGTCGAAGTCACACAGTAAGTGGATGCTTGTTGACTAAAGATGATAACCATTTCTTTTTTGCTGGTCCTAGGGCTTGAACTCAGGGACTGGGCACTGTCCTAAGCTTCTTTTGCTCAAGGCTAGCAGTCTACCACTTGAGCCACAAAGCCATTTAAGGTTTTTTCTGGTAGTTAATTGGAGATAAGAATCTCACGAGCTAGGCGCCGGTGTCTCACACCTGTAACCCTAGCTACTCAGGAGGCTGAGATCTGAGGATCGCGGGTCAAAGCCAGCCTGAGCAGGAAAGCCCCTGAGACACTTATCTTCAATACACCACTCAGAAAACTACAAGTGTGGCTCAAGAGGTAGAGTGCTTGCCTTGAGCTGAAGAGCTGAGGGACAGAGCCCAAGCCCGGAGTTCAAGCCCCATGATAGACAAAAAAAAAAACCAATCTCACAGACTTTGCTGCCAGGGCTGGCTTTGAACCATGATTCTCAGATCTTAGCTTCTTGAGTAGCTAGAATTATAGACGTGAGCCACCAATGCCTGGCTCCTTTTCATTTTTTAATTGTTCTTTTTCCTCAGTGACATGAGATAAAAATTTGTAAAAATATAAAATTAGAAATAAAAGTAGAAAAACAGTTCCAACAGAGTGTGTTGAGCTATTTTACCAGCTTAGCAGTGTGCTCCTGTGGGGTGGGACACTCAGAATACCTGTTCTTTGTGTGGCATCCAACTCTCTACCATTGACTGCTCAGGCCAAGTAGTACAGAGCAGATGACCTGATATGGAAGCCAGAATATAATCTCTTTCCAGCAATATAACCCTAGATTTCACTTTAGTGTAGTGTATCCTCTAACAGGATGGAGACAGCTTCAAAAAATGGACCTTTCTGTCTTTTCTCTTGGCCTCTCTGTAGTTACCCTTTAGGGTAGAGAAACCTCTACACAGGCAGTCCTTACCAGAGTCGCTGGGTGTAGTTTGTGGCCTCACCCTGACCTTGATTTGGACACATAAGAATTAGTGATTACTGACAACTTTTCTCTTTATATGGTCTAATTTTCCAATTAAGATGTTACAAGAGTCATATAGTCATGTTTTCTACAGGAAAAGAGAAATATTGTTTTTATGCAAGAGCTTCAATATTTATTTGCTTTGATGATGGGATCAAATCGAAAATTTGTAGACCCTTCTGCAGCCCTGGACCTGTTAAAGGGAGCATTCCGGTCATCAGAGGAACAGCAGGTATGAGTTGGAAGGAAGCATTACTGTGATGTTATTTCAATATTGAAACAAGCTGAGAACATGACTAAACAGGTCTGTGGATACCAGCTTTTGCCCTGTATTTTGCTTTTACAGTGGACAGAAAGAGGAGAGAGTACACATGTGCATGACAGAAGGAGAAGGGAGAGAGTGAGCTAAGTAGAGCTGGTGTTCTGAAGAGAGGAGGAAATGTTACACTTAGAGACCATTGAAGTAGAAGGGAGATTGAAAAAAATGTTTTAACCCACCATAGCACAGGGTCACCCAGAAAAGTGCATTTCTTTGTAGAGATCCTATTTTCAGACCATGGAAACCTGAGTTCAGCAGCTTTTCTGAGCACTTTCTCTTTTAGCCATTAATGCTTTGCTCCTTTGGCCTCCTGTTGACACACAAAACCATGCCTTGCAGTTGGGTCAGTTCTTCCTGGATCCAGTGCTCTTGAAACATTTTATGAATGTTCTCTCTCTTCATTCAGATCCCTCATTGTTCTGGAGGATCACAATCTGTTTGTAGCACCTGTTTGGGAAATTTGGAGTGGTAGTTCTAGTTTCCTTCTCAGGAGAACTTAATCAGGTTGCCCAAGTACACATTGTGTTATGTCTGCAGTAGCTTGGTCCCAGTTTTTCCTCTATCTTCATCATGTTTGGTCCTGCAAAAGGAATGCTTTCATACCAGTAGACTCTTAATTCATTATTGGGATTTAGGACAAACTTTCACTTTCCTACAAACAACATTGTATCTAACTTACACAATTTGTGCCTCTCTTGTAGCAAGATGTGAGTGAGTTCACACACAAGCTCCTGGACTGGCTGGAGGACGCGTTCCAGCTAGCTGTTAATGTTAAGTGAGTGTTGAGGGTTTGTTTCTGCATCCTTCTGACTCATGGTGACCTCTGAGAATACGGTATGGGAGAAAGCATTACTGGTTTTAATCAGACCTACGGGTGACCATTGAGCTATCATTGTGTATTCCCACTGCTTTAGCTTTCCCCTCCTTTGTGTGAATATACATCCTTTAAACCTCAACCTTTTTACTAATCCCCAGGACCCTAGCTATTAATTCATTAAAATCCTAGCCACTGCTGTAAATTATATTTGAAAACAGGTAGATCAGTCAAGGATGAAATCTTGCATATGTGAATGCATGCCACTGCATTTCATCAAGGTCACTCATGAGGTCTGCTTGAATGTGCTGAGGATGGGTACTATTCATTTCAGTCACTGCAGAAAAGAAGAGCCAGGAATGCCTGCCACCCGCACGTAATAAGATCCTGAGAAATTTCTTTAAATAGTTTAACTCTGAGTTCACAAAATAATATCCTAAAATGGCTTTGCAAAGAGCACTTTACACAGTTTAAGGGAGCTTATAGAATGAAACCTTTTACTGCATTTTTATTGTTGCCACTCAGAATATTTTGAGCTGATTTGTTTGTTCTACTGTAGACTGTATCTGACTCTGTGCTTGATGAGAATGTACTGTTTTTATGTTTGCTTAGGTTTTGTCTGTAGCACATATTTGATCCAGATGATACATCATTGTCTCCCCCTTTTTTTTCTTTTGGTAATAGCAGTAATCCCAGGAACAAATCTGAAAATCCTATGGTGCAGCTATTCTACGGGACTTTCCTGACAGAAGGGGTTCGTGAAGGTAAATTCTGGCTCTGCAGCCATATTTGCATCCTTCTGTCCTTCCAGAGAGGCAGTGAGATAAATAATTGGAGAGTCCAGCACACAGGGACTGCCTCTTAGGATCTGTGTGGTTGTGGTCGAAGTATGGGAATTTCTAGATCTTCAGTTTCTTCCTCTGTAAAGTGGGCACAACCTGTATGTAAAGTTGGTATGTAAAGTTGTCTAACATCTGCACAGCCAAATGTAGTATTCATGTCAGATATACATGATATGACTCAGTTTTCTCTGTTGCCTTTTCCGATGCAAAACCTAATTTTAAAAGAGTTTATTGAGTCAAACTGCCAAAAATGTTTTTCTGTTCTAGAGCTTTGTTCAAGCTGTGTGCTGAACACAATTTTTATATTTATTTTTTATGTTGCTAAATATCAAACTATCAATTTATTATGATTAGATCTGAAGAACAGATTGAAAAAAAGCAAGTATAAAAATACCTGATTTTTAAAAATTTCATAAATACCTAACATCCTAAAGAAACATGTAGACAAGTTTCTACATTGCTTAATGAATTATTCCCAATCTAACAGTTATTAGATTGAGTATATGAGCTCCATATAAGGTTTCATTCATTACTTTAACTATTATTACTGATGGAGCAAAGAGGGACAGTTTTTCAACTATTATATTCATTTGAAACAAATTGACAGGTTCAACCACCTTTCATAAAAGCCAGCAGCCTTTTTTTTGTTTTTTTGTGGTTTTTTTGGTTAGTTGTAAGGCTTGAACTCTGGGCCTGGGCACTGTCCCTGAGCTCTTCAGCTCAAGGCTAGTTAGTTCTCTACCACTTGAGCCACAGCGCCACTTTCGGTTTTCTGTTGGTTAATTGGAGTTAAGAGTCTCACAGACTTTCCTGCCCAAGCTGGCTTTGAACTGTGATCCTCAGATCTCAGCCTCCTGAGTAGGTAGGATTACAGGCCTGAGTCACTGCTACCTGGCCCAGCAGCATTTTTAATATCATCAGGTAAAATTTGGCATAAGCCCTTAATACCTTCCTCACAATTTTTACTTTATTTATTTTTATTTATGTTTTTGCCAGTCCTGGGGCTTGAACTCATGGACCAGGCTCTGTCCATAAGCCTGTCTGTGCTCAAGGCTAGTGCTTTACCACTTGAGCCACTGTGCCACTTGCAGCTTTTTCTGTGTATGTGATACTGAGGAATGCTTCCTGCATTCTAGGCAAGCACTGTACTACTAAGCCACATTCCCATTAACTGGAGAATTCTGAACAAATAGAGCAAATACAGGATCACCATCTACCATGACCCCAATGTCGATCCACAGTCATCTAGCCTTATCTAACCCATGCCTACTCTTACTCTGATAGTCTTTTACTTATTTAAATTTATTATCTATTTATATTTGGTATCATGGATTGAATCCATAGTTTTATGTTTGGTGGCCCATATATTCTACCACTGAGCTATACTCCAGCCCCTGATGATCTTTTTGTAACATAACCTAACACTACTACTCAAAAAAACAGGACTTTTTTTGTGTGTGCTAGTACTGGAGCTGGAACTCAGGGTGTTGTTGCTGTCTCTTAGCTTTTTCGCTCAATGTTGGTGCTCTACTCACTTGAGCCACAGCTCTACTTCTGTTTTTTTTGATGGCTTATTGGAGAAAAGAGTCTTATGGACTTTCCTGCCCTGTCTGGCTTTGAGTTAGGAAAGACATGTTCATGATTTGTGTTTACATGGGTAATGGGGCTTGAACTCAGAACCTCATGCTGTCCCTTTCTTTTTCAGTTAAGGCTGGCACATCATTTGAGCCACACCTCCACTGATCTACCTCCACTTTGTTGGTTAATTGGAGATAAGAATCTTATTGACTTCCCTGTGCAGGCTGGCTTATATCTGTAATCCTCACATCTCAGCCTCCTGAGTAGGTCGAATTATTGGTGTGAGCCATTGGCACCCAGCTAAAAATAGCATTTTTTTTTTTTTTTTTGAGTCTGGTCGTGGGGCCTGAACTCTGGGCCTAGGCGCTGTCCCTCAGCTCTTCAGCTCAAGGCTAGCACTCTACCACTTGAGCCACAGCACCACTTCCGGCTTTTTTTCTTTTTGCTTATGTGATGCTGAGGAATCGAACCCAGGGCCTCATGCATGCAAGGCAAGCACTCTACCACTGAGCCACCTTCCCAGCCCTAAAAATAGCATTTTAATATCAAATACCTAGTTAGTTTTTAAATCCTTAGTGTACAAAAAAAATAAAACTTTCTAATTAGTTAGTTTTCATGATCCAGTTGTGATGTATTTGTGACTGATTCATCTTTTAGGTCTTTTCAACAGACCTATAGGCTCCATGGACTCCATCCTTTTTTCTTTGACACACATTTTCGAGACTGGCTTGTCTGGTCTACCCCAGAGTCTGACATTTTGATGCTTACATTCCCATGATGCATATTTAACATTTTAATATAATTCTCACTACTCTTTCAAATTGGTAACTAGAGTAAAGTTGGGTTTAGTTTAGGTAAAGCTTCTCTTGGCAAGACCATTTTGCAGATGTCAGGCAGGTCTTTGATCAGAGGTGCACAGCTGGTTCTGTTGTTGCCGTATCTGCACCTGTTACCTCCATGTGCCTGTATCCACTGGTGCATTTGAGGCCCTCATCCAGGCCTGTGTTCATTACTAACTAGTTTTCAGGAGACTCCTGAATTTTAGAATATATTGTCTTCTTGGAGCCTGAAAGTAGGTGATAGATATTTTCAATGTGGATGTTATTTCTTAAAGTTATTTCTTGAAGTTGTCTCTCTCTTTGCCTAGGAAAGCCCTTTTGCAACAATGAGACCTTCGGCCAGTATCCCCTCCAGGTAAATGGTTATCGCAACTTAGATGAATGTTTGGAAGGGGCCATGGTGGAGGGTGATTTTGAGCTTCTTCCTTCGGATCACTCAGTGAAGTATGGCCAAGAGGTAAGGTGGATATTTTTACTTACTCTGCCAATAACAAAGCCAGTTTGCTAGGAATGAACTTATAGGCACATGCTAAGTAACTACACTGAATGGAATTTGAGTTTGTCTTAAGTCTCACAGTATTTACAGTTAGTGTGTCTTGGTGCTTTGATAACTAAATTCTTGACTGAAACTATGAAATTGAGTTGATCATGTAAAGGTTATATGCTACTTCTGATGTTGTAAGTATGATCAAGTTTCTCTCTTTCTGTTGAAGCCTACCTGTACCTGAGTAGGGAGAACCCACTGCCTCCATATTTTCGGAGGGTAAAAGTACAGTGATTAACTCCTATGGTATGCCATTTAGAATATTTTCCCTATTATAGTATATACTGTTCTCAATTGTAAATTCTGCCTTTGCTTTTACACTTTAAATTTTTTGTTTATTTATGTGGGGTTTTGTTTTTGTTTTTGTTGGGTTGGAAACAAAGTGCGGGGGGGAGTTAAAGGGAGAGGAAGGGTATTTGTCTCAAAATTACCATAGGGCAAGAATTTGTGACTAGCATTTGTTAGTATAATTGCCTGCCCTACAGTGCTTTGATCATATATTTTGAGGCAAAATTGTGATGCTCAGGAAGTCTGTTGAAGGATTATAATAGGAGAAAGAAGTATTATTCTGTTGAATTAAAATGGGGAGTCTGGGGCTAGGGATGTGACTGGGTGATTAGCACTTCTCAATAGGTACAGGACTTCTTGGATTGCTTCTTCTAAAGGAAAACAAATTAACCAACCTAACAACAATACAAATAGGTAGCTGAACTGGAGCCTTTTGAAAGTCCATTATGTCTTGGAATATGAGAAGAGCTTCTGCCTCCTCAACTTTTCAAGGGAAGAACTAATTCCTAAGAGGAGGCATATCACTGTACAACCCAGTGGATTTTCTGATGATAGAAGAAATGGGCACTAGCTACTCAGATCTCAGTAGTCAAAGATGGAAACTCTGTTAAAACAAAACAGAAACAAATATAGTTGTTTATTTAGATTTGACTCTGAAGAAGTCAAATAGGCTGTCCGGATTCACCATGCTGCGCCAACTGGGTATCTGAATGGAGCACTATTTGTTGTATCTTTGGTAATAAAAGCTGTTCAAGGGAACCTGTGGCATACAGGTAAATTGAACCAAAATGCCTTTCCTGGTATAGCTTTTTCTTACCTAGGATCCTTGACAATTAATAAACTTTTTTTTCTTTGATAGGTCAGTATTTTCTTTCTTGAAACTGAGTAACGGTTAACCTGCAATTGAAGGACAGTCCACTTGACTGGCTTTCTTATGAGACATAGCTACATTGGAGAGCAGGGATTTTTTTGGTCAGAAATTTGAGGGATTAAGAATTCATGAGATTATTTTTGTTTCCTTATAGATGAAAAGGGGATTCCAATTATGGTTAACAAAGTATAAATAAACAGCGCATAATTTATATACAGTGTTGGTCTTTTTAGATAATTTCTGGAGATAGTTAAACCCTTAATAGTGCCCTTTAGATTATTATTTCCAGTTCTTTGATTAGACTCTCTGTTTTCTTCAATATTTGAACCTCTTGAACACCGATAACTCATTTAGTGAATGAGTTGTGTAGATGCTTGGTCCATTCACATATTGAGAGTAAGGACAATAGTTAAATAAAATGTTGACTGACTCGTAAATTTAGAGTCTTGAGTACAGTCTAATCATATTCTCTAATAAACTGATTCTAAGTGTGTATTTGCTGTATGGGATAAAGATGTTGTAAATTTGATTTGAACGTTATTACCAAAAGACTATAGTTTGGAGACAGAGATTTTAAATGTAGGTCTTATATTACTCAAATCTTTCTTTTTCTTTTTTTCCTTCATTTATATCCTGGACATAGCGTTGGTTTACAAAGCTACCTCCAGTGTTGACCTTTGAACTCTCTAGATTTGAGTTCAATCAATCTCTTGGGCAGCCAGAGAAAATTCATAATAAACTGGAATTTCCTCAGATTATTTATATGGACAGGTGAGTCCTTGGTCCATTGTCTTCCTGATGTAATGCAGCAGTAGAAATAAGCTTACACCCAATATGTCCTGTGTAGCAATCATCTGGTGATCTGAATAATAGGCTATTTGGAGTCTGTGGTTCTGGGTTGGAATTCCAGAGGCTGTATTTCTAAGAAGTTCCCAGAGTCATGTTAATGACCCTTCTGAACCCTGGATTACAACTTGAATAACTAGGCTTTAGGTGGATGCTTTGCTTCTCTGGATGGGGCCAAGGCTATATGTAGAGTAGCTGGTGTATAGTTTTTATTGTGAATTCTATCTGTATTCCTAGGGTAGTGGTGGTGGGAACCCAGAGAGACATACTGTATAGAATTTTAACCCTATTAAAGTCACTATTATTAGGCATATTGCTAATGAGTTTTGACAAATGTAAACACCACCACCACCACAGTTATGATAGAAAACATTTCTATCACCCAGAGATTCCCTGTGCCTGCTTTGTGATTTTAGGAATATAACCTAAGGAAATTGGACTGGCCTACAGTTATAGGCCAACTTTTCTAGAGCTACAAGAAAAATTATTGGCTTTTTAAAAAAATATTTGAATCTTTCAGTAAAGAGTCTTTGAATCTGCGAACATGGTGCCTATCCACTTATTTAAATCTTTGTTAATTTCTCAGAGCAATAATTTTTGATGAAAAGTCTAGTGAATATTCCATTAAATATATATATATATATATATCATGGTTTTGATGTTTTTATAATGTCTTTGAATTTTATTTTCTATTTGTTCTTTATATGCATAAGAACATATCTCTTTCCAAATTGACATTGGATCACTGGGCCAAAATTTTCTAAACAGCTAGTGTCATCAACTAAAAGGCAGCTCTTGAGCATGGCTCAAGTGATAGAGCTCTTTCTTGCTGCACAAGCCTTGAGGCCCTGAATTCAATCCCTAGGATCACACAAAAAGGAGAGAGAGGAGCTTTACTTCTTCCTTTGTTCCTTTTTCTTACCTTATTAAATTGACAATACCTTCAGTGAAACAGTGAATAAAAGTGAATGAGTATATCCATGCCTTGTTTGTGATTTTAAGAGGAATGTATCAGTCTTTCACTATTAAGTATGATATTAACTGCTTTTCACAGATTCTCTTTATTTGCTTGACGTCTCTTTGCATCCCTACTTGTAAGACTTGTATCATGTTTTGAAGAATAAATATGTGGGATTACCATTTGTTTAGGTACATGTACAGGAGCAAGGAGCTTATTCGAAGTAAGAGAGAATGTGTCCGAAAGTTGAAGGAAGAAATAAAAGTTCTTCAACAAAAATTGGAAAGGTACGTTTGTGAATACTTTTGCATTTAGAAATATAGAAAATAGCCGGCGCTGGTGGCTCACGCCTGTAATCCTAGCTACTCAGGAGGTTGAGATCTGAGGATCGAGGTTCAAAGCCAGCCCAGGCAAGAAAGTCCATGAGACTCTTATCTCCAGTAAACCACTCAGAAAACCGAAAGTGGCGCTGTAGCTCAAGTGGTAGAATGCTAGCCTTGAGCTGAAGAGCTGAGGGACAGCGCCCAGGTCCAGAGTTCAAGCCCCATGACCAAGAGAAAAGAAAAAAAAGAAATAGAGAAAATAAAGAGTAGAATATTGTTAATTTGATTATATGTAAACATTAATTCATAGTTGGATGTGGTGGTTTAGGTCTGAAATTCTAGCTACTCAGGAGGCTAAGACATGGTTTCAAAGCCAACCCAGGTAGGAGAGTCTAGGAGACTCCATTTCCAGTTAACCAGCAAAATGGTGAGCTGGAGATATGGTTCAAATGGTAGAGTACCCTCTGCAAGCCAGCAAGCCAAATGAGAGCAAAAGGCCCTGAGTTCCAGCCCCAGATGCACTTAAAAGAAATAAGTCACAATTTACCACCTATAATATTTTATATATAAAAAAAAAACAAAACGATTTTTTTCCTAGGTTTAAAGTAGCCTTATTCATAGGTAAATAATAGTCCCCAGGGACTGAAGTTACCCAAAGTCATACCATTACTTATTATGATTACCAGTAAGTAACACAAGTTCTGATTATACATATCTTTCTTACTTTTTCTACTCCCCTACTGTCTTCTTCACAAACACAAAAGAGATGACTATTGTGATGTTCCACTGTAGGTCTTAGAAGAGCAGTGCTTAAGGTGATGCTAATTGATTAAAGGGGCTGGTATTTTTGACATATGGGAAGTCCTTTCTTATAGCAGAATCTTTGCTTTTTTTGCTTGTTTTGCAATTGCAAGTTCCGTGGATATGGGCTAATATCCTTAGTAGGAGTCAGTGTGATTTCTTCCTAGTCTAGGTAAACATTTACAAAGGAAATCTCCTTAATTATCAGTTCTTTTTCCTCTTTAGATTTCCTGCTACATCAATCCCAGCTCTACTCCATTATGAGCTCGTTTATTAATTGTCCTTGAGAGGCCACAATTCCCTCTCAGGTTCCAGGTGGCCCCTGCCCCCTACATCCCTTGCATCTTCCTCTCCCCCAGGAAGGTCTTCTCTAGTTTGTATTGTGACCTGTTATTCACCATCTGAGTAGAGACAAAGGTGAAGACCAACCCAAGAATTATTTTATAGAACCCTAAATTCATTAGTGTTTTACTTTATACTGCTAGAAACTTTTAGTTATTTTTATACAATCAAATATACCCAGCAGGAACAAGCAAGACATGCTAGCTTGTTCAGATTTTAAGATAGAGCATGGGAGTATTTTCCTTAGATTAATATTTTTTAACAAATAACTTTAAAATTCTGGTGACTTTATTTTTTAATATACTTGAAAGGTTACACATATCTGCTTGTACATGTGTGAGACATTGCTGGGAAAATCTACCAGAACCTGTTAGTTGAGTCTGTTAGTGAGTAGAACTGAGATGGGTGGAGTGACTTTCTTGGTTTATAGTACATTTTTATATTGAATTTTCTTAGCAAATTTACCTGCACTACTTTCATTGTTTAAGAATAAAGCCATTCACCATTTCTGCTCTAAGATAATGTTATAATATTGCAAATAAGTTTGATTTTTGTTTGGTACTGGAATAAGAATCCTATTAACTACTCACTGTATGCCTTTATGAATAAACTTTTTGACTCTACTAAATGATAGTTCTTTTTGTCAAGTCTTCAAATGCACACAGACCTGAGCAGTAGAGCACCACTGTCTTTGCTTCTTAGGTATGTGAAGTATGGCTCAGGCCCTGCTCGGTTCCCACTCCCAGACATGTTGAAATATGTTATTGAATTTGCCAGTACAAAGCCTGCCTCAGAAAGCTGTCTGTCTCAGAGTGACACACACGTGACTTTGCCACTTCCTTCAATGCACTACCCAGTTTCTGATCTGACATCCAAGGAAAGGTAATGAAAGTAGATTTTTTTTAAATGTCTATTCTTTCGCATGTGTTGAACTATCCTTGCATTCCTAGGACAAAACCAACTTGACCACATATTGTTGAGTTCAGTATTGTACTAAAAATTTTTTGTATCTACATTCATAAAAGTATTCATGTATGTAATAGCTAAGTAAAGTACTACTATCCATCAATATCCATGAAGGTAAAGAGTTTTATGTTAAAAAGAACCCTGTCAGCCAGGCACCATTGGCTGATGCCTGTAATCCTAGCTACTCAGGAGACAGATCTGAGGATCATGGTTCAAACCCAGCCCAGGCAGGAAAGTCTGCGAGACTCTTATCTCCAATTAACCACCAGAAAACTGGAAGTGGCGCTGTGGCTCAAGTGGTAAAGTGCTAGAACTCAGGGACAGTGCCCAGGCCCAGAGTTCAAGCTCCATGACCAACAACAACAAAAAACATCATTCTCCCCAATTTTTCATATCAATATTTGTATTCGTTGGATTAAGTGAGAGAGAGAGAGAGAGTGTGAGAGTGTGTGTGTGTGTGTGTGTGTATGTGTGTCCTGAGACTGAGATACCTGCTTTCTTGCTGATACTGGGTTTATTTTCCCATCTAGCTCCTTTAGAAAAGAGGCTTCCCTCCATTTCCCTCCATTTTGTGCATGACAGAGTGAACAATGAGATTTCTTTTAAGGCAAAGCAAAAGGAAGTTGATGTTTTACATTTTTGGCTTGAGACAAAGTATAATTTGAAACAAATATAATTGCTGGTTTGTTTATATGTTACTTCAGTTTGAACAGTTAATTAGTACTTAACATTTACTTTGAATTCTTTCCTTTTTTTGGGGGGGGGGTCCGGTCGTGGGGCCTGAACTCTGGGCCTGGGCGCTGTCCCGCAGCTCTTCAGCTCAAGGCTAGTGCTCTACCACTTGAGCCATAGCTCCACTTCCGGCTTTTTTCTTTTTGCTTATGTGGTGCTGGGGAATCGAACCCAGGGCCTCAGGCATGCAAGGCAAGCGCTCTACCACTGAGTCACCTTCCCAGCCCCTACTTTTAATTCTTCAGTCTTTGTTATTTGACAGCATTAATGGAAAGAAGATAGATTTCCATTTTGTAGGTGAGATTTTTTATTTCCTTCCTGAGGCTAGTCCCTCCAGTTCACATGTAGTTTATCTGGGATTACTTGTCTTAGAGCTATGCCCTCTGAGACTTGCAAGGGGTCACCTAAATTGCATGTGCCTGTGAGCTAGATGCTCAGCTGTTTGTTTTTTTCTTCCATGTGTTTTGTTCCTGAATAGATAGCCTCACTTCAGGCAGTTGCATTTCTCAAAACTGTAGATGATCCCAAATTTTTCCAACCACATGCTTTTTCCAAGTTCCTGCTGGTTCTTTTTTTTTTCTTCATGAGAAACCATTGTGAGGGGCTGGGAAGGTAGCTTAGTGGTAGAGAGCTTGTCTCGCATGCATGAGGCCCTGGGTTCGATTCCTCAACACCACATAAACAGAAAAGGCCAGAAATGGCATTGTGGCTCAAGTGGTAGAGTGCTAGCCTTGAGCTGAAAAGCTGAGGGACAGCACCCAGGCCCAGAGTTCAAGCCCCATGACTGACCAAAAAAAAAAAAAAAAACATTGTGATTAATGATTATACAACATGAACCATAGACTCAGGAAGATCTGAGCTTGAATCTCTTTCCATCACCTCCTGGTGAGTTGCTTAGTAACTGTTCTGTCTTCCACACCCACTTTTGTTTTTTGAGATACATAGTCTAGGGCAGCCTCAAACTCACAGTCACCCTACCTCTGCCTCTTAAGGGCTCAGATTAAGATAATAACATCAGCTGCATAGCCAAATTTTTTAAGTGAGATGATTTATATGACTAAAACTTTAGCTTAATATATGTTTAGAGTTACTACTCACCAAATAATAGCTCTGTGTGTGTGTGTGTGTGTGTGTGTGTGTGTGTGTGTGTGTGTGTGTGCTTCTTTTTATAAAGCAGTTTGTTTTTTTCCAATTTTTGGCTGAACTGTCTTGTGGAAAATATCAGCTGAGCATTATTTTTTTGGTCTTCCTTTAGTACAAGTGCAGAAGGCCCTTCTCAGAATATTGAAAGTTCCTTTTCTTCTCCTGAAGACTGTCTACACCAGTCTGAGGTAATGACTACCCCTCCAAGGTCTTCCCTGGGAATGCCTATGCTCCCTGCTCCTCGAACAGTCACTGATGAAGAGATGAACTTCGTTAAGACCTGTCTTCAGAGGTGGAGGAGTGAGATTGAACAAGACATACAAGGTTGGCACTCTTCACCTGACTTTCTGTTTGTTTAAGTGTTTGGATGCTTGGTATCTTGGGTAGGCTTCCTGCTATTATCCTACAAGCTGTTGAATTTTAGCTAGTCGTTGATTTTGCATTCTTCATGCCCGGTAAGACTGGTGCATGCCCCCATTGTATACCTATGGAAGATCCTTCCTAGATTACTGCCTCAAAATTCCTATAGAAGCTTAGACACTTGGGATTACCTTTGCTGAGATCCGTCTTCCTTTCCTTCCTCCCTTCTTCCATCCCTGTTTCCTCCCTCCTAAGCACATGTTCTACTACTGAGCTACAACCTGAGCTCAGATTTTCCTACATCAGATTTCTGTTCTGTAGCATGCTTCTAAATTCACACTTTGATTGCCCAAACAGAAGTCCTGGATTCCTTCTTTTAATTATTGTCCATGTGAAGCATGTTTTGTTGACACTTAATGAGACAGAATGTCTGAGTGGTACACACATTGTAATATTGAATTAGCTTTCATATCTTAAAATTCATTTGGCCTCACTATCATATTGCTCAAAGTATTCCTTTCCTTCTGTGCTTTTTTTTAATTAAAAAAATTAAATTCTAGATTGCTTCAAATTTCTTAATCTGAGAAATTTAGCCCTATATTTCTTTCTGCCAGTATGGTGAAGTTTATTTCCTAAAATAAGATGGCTTCTTCTTTATATATAATAAAATTATTTTTTATTATAATTACAAAATATTTTTAATCAAAGCTTGCACTATTTTATTTTGTTTGTTGGTTGAGAGGCTTGAACTCAGGGCCTGGGCACTGTCCCTGAGCTCTTTTACCTAAAGCTAGCACTCTACCACTTTGAATAACATCTCTACTTCCGGTTTTCTGGTGTTTAATTGGAGCTAAGACTCTTACAGACTTCCACGGTCCACAGTGAGAAGTTGAAATCATTAGAAACATGAATTCTACTGGCTTAGTTGATGCAGATGGTGTGATGTGGAATGGGACATTTTAACATGATACTCTTTCCTCCCCCCCAAACAGATTTAAAGAATTGTATTGCAAACACCAACCAGACTATTGAGGAGATGTACCGCGATCCTCTTCTTTGTCAGGTAGAATGAAAATTAGTGGGAAAGTCAAGACTTGTGCTAATGGTAGATGGAAGAAAATAGTTTTCTTAGAAACCAGATGGGGGTCACACTGATACATAAGAATAAACTTAAGTTGAAACTATATTGTTTCCTTACTATGTATGGTAAAGAAAGCAATGCATCCTTTACCTATAGGAGAGCTTAAAACAAATTTGTTTTGCAAATACATTGTATCATTGTCATGTGACATTTTATCAAAAAGTAGAAAAATTGGTTGTCAAATATTAACAAAAATTTCTCACAAAGTGACAACTAAGTTTGCAATGGGGAAAACTAACCCAAGGATTTTTATCTATTTTTTTAAGTGGTCCAGTTCTGAAATAACCTTGCAGTGTGCTTTCAGGCTTTCTTTTTCTAATAACTTATAAGACCAAAAGGGAGTCAGACAAGACAAATTCTTACTGTCTACACATGATTTTGTTCATAGTAGCATTCTGTACATGGCCTTGCAGAGACCTTGTGTGAACATAGCTGCCAGAGGATAGCTTCCTCCAAGAAGGGCAAGGAGCAGGACTCTTCTAGGTAGCAGGGATGTACCATGGGAGTCTCTAGTGGAAGCATGTCAAGGTACTGATAGGAGTTTAGGAAACCTTCAGAAGGCCTATCTTAACTGTCTCCTAAAGATTCTGGAACTAAGATACAATTGACGTACTCCATGGATGTGTTTTTGTTAGTTCATCTTTAACTAGCAAGATGCTTAATGTGAAACTATATTGAATACATGAATACTTTGGAAACCTTTTTGAATTTTCATAACCTAGGCTTTATCTTATGCCTTTGCTTTGTCTGAGGAAATGTTTTTCTGGTTGGCAGGTGCCTTACCGCTTACATGCAGTTCTTGTTCATGAAGGACAAGCAAATGCTGGACACTACTGGGCCTATATTTATAACCAGCCTCGGCAAACCTGGCTCAAGTACAATGATATCTCTGTCACTGAGTCTTCCTGGGAAGAACTTGAAAGAGATTCTTATGGAGGCCTGAGAAATGTTAGTGCTTACTGTTTGATGTATATCAATGACAAGCTACCCCACTTCAATGCAGGTAAAAATACCTTAACAAAACCCAGGGATTAGGGAAAAATGTATACTGCCCAGGGATGAGCAGACTCATACGTCCTTTGTAATTCAAACTGCAATTATTATGTATTAAGGAATTTTAAAATATTAATAGTATAAAAGGGAATAAAAAGATTTCCTACCTTAGAACCTTTATCACTAATCTGACTGCCCAAGAAGTGTATGCTGTTAGGTTTCCTACGTAGTGTTCAAAAATGATCTGTGTGTGTAGATTTTATTTATCTTTCCCCTTCTCTGTTTTTTTCCCTCTAAATCAGATACTTTTCCATTCACATCTGCACTTCAATCATAGGTCAAGTATTTAGTGATCTCCTATTTTTATAAATAGGACCTTTTTTTAAAAAAAAAAAATATTTTTTTAGGGCTGGGAAGGTGGCTCAGTGGTAGAGCGCTTGCCTTGCATGCCTGAGGCCCTGGGTTCAATTCCTCAGCACCACATAAGCAGAAAAAGCCGGAAGTGGCGCTGTGGCTCAAGTGGTATAGCACTACCCTTGAGCTGAAGAGCTGAGGGACAGCTCCCAGGCCCAGAATTCAGGCCCCATGACTGGACCAAAAAAAAAATTTTTTTTTAATTTTTTATTGTAAAGATACTATACAGAGGGTTACAGTTACATGAGTAAGGTAATGAGTACACTTCCTATTGAGCATTGTTACCCCCTCCATTGTTTTCCCCCTATCATCCCTTCCCTCCCTACCTTCCCCAAGGTTCTTTTTTTGATTGTGATTAAGGATTACATATAATTTCTGGAAATTCACAGTATTGTGGAATAATGATGCTCATTTAAAGTCACAAGTTCATTCTAACTGTCCTGGAGCAAATTGTCTATCACAGTCTATAACATATAACAGTGTACACATATACACCATACATGTGATCAGCAGCATGGGGATATTTAGTGGTGGTCCGACCAGATGAGTGGGAGTTCTTTGTTTCTTGAGTCCTATTAGTTATGTTGTATCACCTAACATTTTGGATTTAGCATCCACTTATCAGGGAGACCATGTACCGTTTGTCTCTTTGCTCTTGGCTTACGTCGCTCAACATGATTCCTTCTAGCTCCATCCATTTCCCTGCAAATGCCATTATTTTGTCATTTCTAATGGCTGCATAATATTCCATTGTGTATAGATACCACAATTTTTGGATCCATTCATCTGTGGTGGGGCATCTAGGTTGTTTCCATATCCTAGCTATTGTGAACAGTGCTGCAATAAACATGGAGGTGCACGTGTTATAAATAGGACCTTTCTTGTAGTTTTAAATAGCTATGCATTTCCATTGCATTATTACAATATTATTACATAATTAGATTATCATATAACTAATATGTATTATATGATTGCTATATATAATTATTTATATTTAGGTTATTTAACCAGCCTTGCATTGAAAAATTGTGTTCTAGACTTCCTTTTTAGTGATGACCTTCCACATACAGAGGAGCTAAATTTTTAAATTTTTTAATGTTTTGTCGGTGCTGGGGACCAAACCCAAACTTTGCACATGCTACTAAAGCATGCTATACCACTGAGCTACATTCCTTTACCTCAGAATAGCTAAATTATAAAAGTGAATTTTCCTGAATGGTCTCATTCTTTCATAATAATAAAGCACTAATAATTTTCTTTATGTTGTTACTTTGTATCTTTTTTTTCCTGCTTATGTGGTGCTGAGGAATCAAACCCAGGGCCTCATGCATGCAAGGCAAGCGCTCTACCACTGAGCCACCTTCCCAGCCCCTTTACTTTATACCTTAATACATGCTTTCAAAAAACTTTGTTTCTCCAATAACTTAACTCTGAAAGAGAGGTGGGCAGAGTAGAAATTCTTACTGTCCTCACTTTCCAGCTGGGTTACCAAATTTAAGAGGATCTATAGCTGTCTGGAGTCACAACTAAGAAATAAATGTCAGGCCTAAGTTTCAGATCCATTTGGGACTCCTAAACTTCTGTGCTGTTGCAGTTTATATTATTCTCTTTCTTTCTTTTACATCTCTGTGAGAGGTCTTCTAACCAGCATTTTATGTTAAGATAATCAAAGGCTTCTCTTGATGTTCAAACTTTTCTGTGCTTTATAGAAAGCATGCAAGGCATTTGTCCAGAAAGCACCTTATCATCCTGACTTGCCAGGATAGTTGGTGGTGTGAGGGCAGTCAAACGGAATCTTAAGATGGGCACTGTTGGGTCACACCTGTAATCCAAGCTATTCAAGAAGCTGAGATCTGAGGATCATCATTCAAAGTCAACCCAGGAAGGAAGCCCATGAGACTGTTATCTTCAAGTAACCACCAGAAAACTAGAAGTGGAGCTGTGGTTCGAAGGGTTAGAACACTAGACATGAGCAAAAAAAGAGCTCAGGGAAAGCACCCAGGCCCTGGGTTCAAGCCCCATGACTGACGAAAAGAATGGGGAGTAATTTGCTAATCACTGACATTTAAAGTTGTATATTTAGCTGGGCATCATGATTCACTTCTACAATACCAGCATTCTGGAGCCTGGCACAGGTGGATCATAAGTTAAAGACCAGCCTGGCCTACAAATCAAGACTCTATTTTTTTAAAAAAAGCAAAAAGTTGTGCATCTGCACCTTGAAGTTCAAACAGTTGCTGCGGGAGTCATTGTACAAGCTGTTGGTGCTATATCAGAGTCTTACTATTGCCTGTATATATAGTTTTTTCTTTTTTCTTTTTCTGTGTTGCAATTTGAACTCAGGGCCTTGCACTTGACAGACATGTGCTCTGCAACTTCAGTCATACCTTACCCTTTTTGCTTTACTATTTTCAAATAAGTTCTCAATTTTGAATCTGGGCTGGTCTTTACCTCTGTCTTTCTACTTATACTTGCTGAATACCAGGGATGGATGATAGTTATGGCCTATGGCCAGCTTTTGATTGGTTGAGATATTGTTTCAAAACTTTTTTGTCCAGTCTGTCCTTGAACTTTAATCTTCCTGGTGTCTACTTCATATGTAGTTAAGGTTACAAGCTTGAGCTACTATATTAGGCCTCACATTGCTCACTTTTTTTTTTTTTTTGGTTGGTCGTGGGGCTTGAACTCTGGGCTTGGGCTCTGTCCCTGTGCGCTTCAGCTCAAGGAGAGCACTCTACCACTTGAGCCACAGTCCCACTTCCGATTTTCTAGTGGTTTTTATTGGCGATAAGAGTCTCATGGATTTTCCTGCCCGGGCTGGCTTTGAACCGTAATCCTCAGATCTCAGCCTCCTGAGTAGCTAGGACTACAGGTGTGAGCCACTGGCGCCCAGCTCATTGTTCACTTTTATAAAACAGAAATATTGAGTGGGAGCTCATTTGTTTAGTGACGAGGCTTGTGACAGCTTGAAAGTGAACATATGTATCCCTGACGTGTGCCATTTTTCATCATGGTTTTTTATGAGCCAGGTATCATGGCCCATCTGACCATTTTGTAGTAGTTGTTTTCTAATAGCATTGTGAAAAAGTATAAATGTCTTGAAATTCATATCTAATCTTTTGAGGTAGATGGAAATTCTTACCAATAATAGATGCAGTGGTTAAATTGGCATAATTATTTGACCTGAAATTTATATTGAGTGTATTGATTTTCCAGATTTCTAAGAAATGTTTGGTACATCCAGTGATGGACCACAATTAAATCATCATTCATTCATTCATCCAACAGTTATTGAATGTGCACCTGTCTACAAACATGCCAGGGCGTTACTGATATGCTGTGCCTGTCATTGTCAGAATTCCTGATGGATTATTCATATGCTTATATAAATGGATGAGTGGACTGACTGATTCATTTATTTTCAGTTAGGAACAAGACAAAAGATAAAATAACCTGTATTCCTCCTGTGTTGGAAGGCCCTTTTACTTCCTAAGTCCCTCTTTCTGGATGCTGCTCCATTTAACTGTTTTTCCTCGGAGGCAGCCCCAAGTGAACCAGAGCAGATGCTGGGAGAGTTGGATGCCCTGTCTGTGGAGCTCAAGCATTACATTCAAGAAGATAACTGGCGGTTTGAGCAGGAAGTTGAGGAATGGGAGGAAGAACAGTCATGCAAAATCCCTCAAATGGAATCCTCCAGCAGCCCATCATCCCAGGATTTCTCTACGTCACAAGGTAGCCATGAAGGGCATAATGTCAGTGAACTAGTACATGTACACTGCACTTCCTGCCAGCCTGCCTTCAGCCCAGTAGCTGATGGCAGATTTCACCATTTTGTTTATAGTTGGTGTTGCACAGTCTGACTTTGGAATGTGATTTCCAGTGAGCAGAAATAATGTCACAGAGGTGACCTGTAATGTGTGTGTGTACTTGTGCTCAGTAGGAGAGACGGTAGTAGAATTAAAAGGTAGAGTTAATGGAAACCTTTCTCCAGTGGAGATCTTGCTAACAGACTATTGTTTGTAGGCAGCTTTTATGGTACAGAGAAATGGGGAGTACAATAAATTGTACAGATCTTAATTGCTCTCTAGCCATTTCTTGTAATCACTAATTCTAGGGCAAATTTGCACAGGTTTTATAAAAGTTGTGTTAGAAGGATTTTTATCACACTGTGTGTTCATTTTGCTCACTTACTAGTGTTGTAGATGTTATTTATTATTAGATGCTAATGCCTTTGTGGATTCTCTGTTAGAGCCACCAGCAGCCTCTCCTCCGGGGGTTCGCTGCTTGTCATCTGAGCACGCAGTGATTGTGAAGGAGCAGACTGCCCAGGCCATCGCAAACACAGCTAGAGCCTATGAGAAGAGTGGGGTGGAAGCAGCTTTGAGTGAGGTGAGACTGATCGGGAGGGCAGATGGAAGAGGGTCTCATCAGTGCCAGCTTTCTCACATTTCCATTATTCTGTGTTTCTGCTGCATTTAACCATCATCTTTATTTCTCCTGTTTTTCCTTACTCTTCTCCATCTTGTTGCCACAGCTTAAGGAAGCTGAACCCGAGAAGCCCATGCCCCAGGAATCAAACCTGGCAGAGCAGTCAGAACCGCCCCCAAGGGCTGATGCCACAGAAAGTGCTGCCCAGCCTAACTCTGAGGCCTCTGAAGTGGAGATCCCCAGTGTGGGGAGGATTCTGGTTAGATCGGATGCAGGTGGATATGATGAGGAGGTACAGAGATAGGCAGGACGGGGCTGCCTGTTGTCAGTCTTGAGTCCCTTCTGTGACTGCGTAGCCTTCTTTAAGGTGCTTGGCAATGGCTACTAGTTCCTCACTGAGACAAGTAATGGACAAAGAGGCTCTCCTAGTTTTCACTTCAGTTTCACTCTTTGTGAAGTGGTTATCATCTCCTGTTCCTGTTGTGTCTGTCCCCGTGTGTGTGTGTGTGTGTGTCTGTCTGTCCCCGTGTGTGTGTGTGTGTGTGTGTCTGTCCCCGTGTGTGTGTGTGTGTGTGTGTGTGTGTGTGTGTGTGTGTGTGTGTTGTGTGTGTGTGTGTGTGTGTGTGTGTGTGTGTGTGTGTGTGTGTGTGTGTGTGTGTGTTCACCCAGCTTTTTCCTCATATGTGTTGGTGGGGAACAGGGGTGGGTCTGCTTGGTCTAGTTGTCTCAGGCAGAACTTATTTTTCTTTTGGTATTATAATAAAAATAGCTTTATAAAGAATCTTGATTTTTGGTGGTGGTGGTGGTTGTAGGGCTTGAATTCAGGACTTGGGGTGCTGTCCTCAGTTTTTTCATTCAAGGCTCTACCACATTGAGCTATAGCCCCACTTCCAATTTGTGGGTGATTAGTTAGAGATCAGAGTCTTACCAGACTTTCCTGCCCAGGCTGGCTTTGAACCTTGATCCTCAGATCTCAGCCTCCTGAGTAGGTAGAATTATAGGCGTGAGCCACCAGCACCTGTCCTGTTTTGTATTTTGAAATAGTGTCTCTGTGTTGTGTAGGTTGGCCTCAAACTCATGGTCCGCCTGCCTCAGGCTTATGAGTACTGGGATTGTATGTATGTACCACCATGCCTGGTTGGGAATATTTGTTTTTTATATTAGTCTGTTGATTTTCCTTCAGATAATTTTTTTAGTTATCCAATAAGCAAACAAAACATGAGTTAAAGTTGGTCTTGCTTTTAATTCAAAAACTTAGCAAGAAGCTAAGTCTCCTTTCCAGCTGTGCTTCACATAAACAAGCATGAGTCCTGTTATTTTCTCTCCTTTAGGATATTTTATAGTCATATTTGTTCCTTTTCTAGTCTCCAGCCAACTGTAAATACGCTGTCTGTCCATCCAAGTAAAACTTCCAATTATATATTTAAGCTATTCTTTAAAATTGCAAGTTAAATTGGAATCCTGAGCTCAGATACTTCCCTCTCTGAGAACTATAATTTAACTTAGTTCTTTGGAAGTGTCACATTGGAGATCTTTTTGGAAATCTTCCTTTTTTGGTTTCTTTTTATGTGCCAGTCCTAGTGCGTGAATTCAGGACCTGGGTGCTGTCCCTGAGCTTTGTTTGTGCTCAAATACTTGAGCCACAGCTCCACTTATGGCTTTTTTTAATTTGGTGGTTTATTGGAGACAAAAGCCAACATGGGCTGGCTTCAAACCTGGCTCCTCAGATCGTCAGCCTCCTGAGTATCTAGGATTACAGACATGAGCCACTGGTGCTTGGCTGACATATGTCTTTATCTGGCAAAATTAGAACCTGTAGGATAGGTATGACTTGTGTTGTTCTAGGTTGGCATGTAGGGGGCAAAGGCATATAGGCATAGGGGTGGGTAATAAAGCTGATTTGTAGTTCACGCTGCCCATGGGTCACACTGCTTTGCTTTCCTTCCATACTTTGCCTTTGCTCACTTTGCCTTCACACAAGCTCCTTTTGAACCTCTCTTCTCTCCTTTTCTCTCTGTGTTTTGTGCTGTCTTGTGGTAGGTGATGCTGAGCCCTGCCATGCAAGGGGTCATCCTGGCCATAGCTAAGGCCCGTCAGACCTTTGACCGAGATGGGTCTGAAGCAGGGCTCATTAAGGTACCTCTGTTTTAAAATCTTTAACGCTTATAACCAGGTATCATACTGTTGAGGCAGTACATATATAACCTGGCAGGGTGGGGTTTCAAATAGCCTTTATTAAAGCAAAACATAAAACTCATTGCTGTTGTTAGATGAAGGTTGGCCTTTGCAATTTGAGGGCCTTCATCTTAAAAAGTAGGTCATGCTTTTTAAGATCCTTGAAAAAAGTATAAGACACTTGATTGAAATCCCATTTATATTAGTTTATTTATATTTATTGTTTATATTGGATTCAGGAATATAAACCCTAAACAATTAGGACTGAGTCGTTGGTTTTTCAAGACCTTCCTGAGAAAATGAGTGTCTCCTGAGTGGTGTGTCTTTCTTAGCAGAATGCTAAAGCAGTTTGTTTTCCATGATTTGTCAGCAAACAGATTCCATGATTGCTTTTGTAATTCCTCGATAGGAAAGGTCCTCATCATTATGAGACCCTCCAGCCTTAGGCACCAACCTCATCATTATGAGACCCTCCAGCCTTAGGCACCAACCTCATCATTATGAGACCCTCCAGCCTTAGGCACTAACCTCATCATTATGAGACCCTCCAGCCTTAGGCACCAATCTCTGTGTGTGCAGATTCCTAAGGATGTGTACTGTGTTCAACAGGCGTTCCATGAAGAATACTCCAGGCTCTATCAGCTCGCCAAGGAGACACCCACCTCCCACAGCGACCCTCGACTTCAGCATGTTCTGGTCTACTTTTTCCAAAATGAAGCTCCCAAGAGGGTGGTAGAGCGGACCCTTCTAGAACAGTTTGCGGATAAAAATCTTAGCTATGATGAAAGGTGAGAAGGGAACCTTTTACTCAGTGCTGCTTTCTCTCCATGGGCTCTGACTGGGCTGAGGCCTCCAGCTGTGAGCCGGTTCGTGTCCTTTCACTGCCATCCCAACTCTGTCCCACACAGGTCAATCAGTATCATGAAGGTGGCTCAGGCTAAGCTGAGGGAAATTGGACCAGATGACATGAATATGGAAGAGTACAAGGTGAACTTTTTGATTGCTTGTTTAAATCTGTAAAATAAAAATATGAATTCTAAAAAATAATATGAATTCCAGACACAATGGGCAAAGTGAATAGTTTAGTGTTACCACAGATTGCCTTGCTCTCCCTTTGCACAAAAAGACCTGGGGAAGAATAGGTAAATGATCTTTTCCTACTTTCAGAATAGCTCCATTCTTTTACTAGAATGCATCTGTGCTCTATCTTCCTTAAGTACCTACTGTGTAATAACATTAATTGACTTTTAAAAGATGGTACAGCTTTCTACTATGCATTAAAGTATATACATCTGCCTTCTTTTTTTTTTCACATTACTAAGGTTTGAACTCAGGGCTTGGTGGTTGCTAGGTTTTTTGTTTGTTTGTTTTACCGTTTGGGACATACTTCCAGCCCTTTTTGATTGATTGATTAATAATTATATTTTTATTACCTCCAAGTAGTTGTATAAGGGGGTTACCATTCATGTCGACTTATAAGTACAAAATACCACGATCAATCTTGTTATTTTTATTTATTGGTTTGGATAGGGTCACAAGTTTTTGCCCAGGGCTGGTTCAGACTTCAATTCTCCTACTTCCATGCAGTTGGGGTTACAGATAAGGACCATCAACTTTATTTCATTCACAGGGCTTGCACTCAGCACCTGGGCACTGTCCCTGAGATTGTTTTGCTCAAGGCTAACACTCTACCACTTGAGTCATAGTGCCACTTCCACCTTTTTCTATGTAGTACTGAGGGATTGAACCCAGGACTTCATGCCTGCTAGGCAAGCACTCTACCACTCTACCACATTCCCAGTCCTTATTTATTAAGAATGGGATCTTGCTAATTCCTTGCCCTCATTTTGTCCTTGCCTCATAAGTAACTGGAGTTACAGGCTGAGACCTTTGGCCTACACATTGTTAAAAGCCATTGCATTCGGCATAAAACAGTATGCCACACCGCCAAGTTATATTCTGCACATGTACAGCCGCCTTGCTCTTCTATCTTCACTATGTCTATGAGGCCTTATCAGAACTCCAGAGACTGACTAAGCCAAAGCTGAATGACTTTGACATGGATTTTGGAAATTATAAAGTTTATGTGAAATAAATATTTCCGGCCAGGCACGAGTTGCTCATATTTGTAATCCTAGCTACTCAGTAGTCTGAGATCCAAAGGCTCATGGTACAAAGGCAGCCCAGGCAGAAAAGTCCATGGGAGAGTCCATCATAAAAATTACCAACAAGAATCTAGACTAGAGGCTTGGCCCAAACGGTATTTTGCCAGGTGAGTAAGTAAGCCAGGCATGCATGAAGTGCTAAGTTCAGTACTGGCAAAGATGGAATAGAATTAGGATGGAACATTGATAATTAAAGGTCAGTGGTTGACTAAATACTGAATGTTTTTTATCTGAAAGTTTGTGGTTTTGGACCTGGCTAAATGTGCTCAGTAAATGTTTATACTGAGTCTGAAATTTGCAGTGGTATAAAATGCATTACTTTACTGAAACCAAATAATTAATAGTTGTTATTCTTTTACAGAAGTGGCATGAAGATTATAGTTTGTTCCGAAAGGTGTCTGTATATCTCCTGACAGGCCTAGAACTCTATCAGAAAGGAAAGTATGTTGTTTTTTGTTTCACTAAGATTATTGATCACAGCCGGGCGCCGGTGGCTCACGCCTGTAATCCTAGCTACTCAGGAGGCTGAGATCTGAGGATCACGGTTCAAAGCCAGCCGGGACAGGAAAGTTCATGAAACTCTTTTATCTCTAATAAACCACTAGAAAACTGTGGCACTGTAGCTCAAGTGGTAAAGCGCTAACCTTGAGCTAAAGAGCTGAGGACAGCGCTCAGGCCCAGAGTTCAAACCCCATGACTGACAAAAAAAAGAGAGAGAGAGAGATTATTGATCACTATACTGATTGAATTGATGCTCAGCTGAGGATACTAGAGGTCACAGGCCTGCATTACCTCCTTTATCACTCACACAAGGTGCCTCTACTCTTCAGTACTGTGATTACATTTGTCTGCTTGCTTGGCAGGTATTGTACACTTGAGCCATGCCTCAGTCTGTGTGCCTCTGTTCTTTCTGGTGCTTCCTTTGACTTTGCTCTGAACATCACACACATTTTTCATCCATCAGCAGTAGTGGATTCTCTAGAGAAGAGATCACTGTGCTAGACCTTCTTTGTGGCAAATGAACTCAGAAAATGTTTTCAAGTTGGCATAGACCCCAGTGAGCATCTGTTCCATTTCTTGTCCCATTTCTAGAAGACCTAAGATTGGCTATGGTCTTTGGCCCTCAGGCTTTTCCCATACATTATGCTTGACTGTCTTTAAGACTTGTCCATAATGGTAACAAAGTATATTCTTATATTGGGGAGCAGTGAGGTTTGGCAAAAGAGAGCTGTGATTTATCTCCATCCCTTCCTGCTACTGCAGATTAAACTTACCCTGCATTTTCTAAGGTACCAAGAAGCGCTGTCCTACTTGGTGTATGCCTACCAGAGCAACGCTGCACTGCTGATGAAGGGCCCTCACAGGGGGGTGAAGGAATCAGTGATTGCTTTATACCGGAGAAAATGCCTTCTGGTTTGTACTTATTTGTGTGTGTGTGTCTGTCTGTCATCTGTCTGTCCCTTGAAGCCATTTAAAAATCCAGCTTAAGCCAAATAATTATCTACACCAAACTTTGAATTTTTTTTTTCCAAACTCATGGGCAACTTTCTATTCGAACAGGGTCATTGACCTTACTTTAGGTGAATTCCATTCTTCAGTCCTCTCAGCTTCTGAGAGTCAGCCGTCCGTCTCTGTGCCCTTGCTTAGTGCCTGCATTATCACTTTTATCACATCTCTTCTCTACTAGATAGTGAGTTCACAGAGCTTAGATTCTCTTTTTTCTTACTCAGCAGTTTGTTCTGAATCTGGCATGATGTATGTATTTGGGGAATAGGTATTTTTCAGTATTCCCTACCTAAAGCTAGTGGATGAAATTTGATGGCTGTGAGATGGCTTTGGTTTTATAGAGCACTGTAATGAACCACCGAATCAGTCCTGCTGACCTGTTAGCATTATTGTCACACATTAGTCAGGATGGAAGGCAGATACAATCCCCTCTGACTCCCCAAGGGAGTATATTGTGCTTGTTCTTCAGAGAATTAGGAAGAGGTGGCTTGCCTTTATATTGTGTACTTGTGTTTACTTCCCTTCATTCCCAGGAAATTTTCCCTTCTCAGAAATCAAGGCTACATTTTCACCAATGTCTTGGTCCTCTTAACACCCAGTGGAGGCCATTAAGTCATGAGATATATTCATCTCAACAGCTTCATGTTTTGATTTATATTTGGATTTGTATGACAATTACAGATGTGACAGGGCTACTTGGAAGCTGGATAAAAGCATTTCAGAGTTAATGATCTGAATTTTTTATTTATTTAGGATCTGGCCGTGGGGCCTGAACTCTGGGCCTGGGCACTGTCCCTCAGCTCTTCAGCTCAAGGCTAGTGCTCTACCACTTGAGCCACAGCGCCACTTCTGGCTTTTTTCTTTTTGCTTATGTGGTGCTGAGGAATCAAACCCAGGGCCTCAGACATGCAAGGCAAGAGCTCTACCACTGAGCCACCTTCCTAGCCCCATGATCTGAATTTTAGAGCTGTGATTCTATATTTTAAATCACCAAATTCAGCTCAGCATCTTGAACATCTCACCTTCCACAGTAGTGTAATATAAGAATGACTGAGTTTTTTGTTGCTGTTGTTAATCTCCAGTGTGTGTAAGAACCACAAAATGAGGTTTCAAGCTGGCGAGGCACAGGTTCTCCCCCAGGACAATAAAGGATGGGGTCTCGGCATCCGTGTGTCTTTTTTTTTTTTTTTTTTTGCCAGTCATGGGGCCTGAACTCTGGACCTGGGCTCTGACCTTCAGCTCTTGAGCTCAAGGCTAGCGCTCTACCACTTGAGCTACAGTGCCACTTCTGGCTTTTTCCATTTATGTGGTGCTGAGGAATCGAACCCAGGGCCTCATGCATGCAAGGCAAGCGCTCTAACACTGAGCCACCTTCCCTGCCCCATCCATGTGTCTTCTGTAGGTGTTTCTGATCCCTCATGGAGATTGAGAACCAACGGATAGGTCTTTTGGTAGAAACAGATACTAAATATGACTTTGAATTGTAAGTTTAGGCCAAACTTGGCTGCATTAGCATCACTTTGGGACCTTTTACTAAATCCCAAATGTCCAGATCATCTACATTCTTATTAAATCAGCTCATCTGGGGTTCGACCAAAAAAATTTTTTTTAAATTCCCTAGGTAATTCCAATGTGCAGGGGAGTATGGGAGCCACACGACTTAATAGATTTATTTAATAGATGCTTACCTTTTCAGCCTTTTTTTCTCCCACTCTGCCTTTTATGTGTAGGAACTGAATGCCAGAGCAGCTTCTCTCTTTGAAACAAATGATGATCATTCTGTAACAGAAGGGATTAATGTGATGAATGAGTTGATCATTCCCTGCATTCACCTGATCATTAACAATGACATCTCCAAGGATGATCTGGATGCCATTGAGGTCATGAGAAACCACTGGTGCTCTTACCTTGGGCAAGATATTGCAGGTGTGTTGTTGTAAGCACTTCTTAGAATCTCTGAGGCTTTGGGACTTCTAGAAATTACAGTGAACTCATTCTTTAGTCCTGGTTGTCAAAGGCTTTGAGGGGACTGGAACATCCCAACATGCAGGTGAGGGAAATGAGTCTGTGGTGTGGAAAAAAAGAATGGGAACCAGTGCTCTACTATTTTCCCCTTCCCCTTACCTCCTCTGACTGTAGAAGCACCACCACAAACAGCCAGCAGGTTCTAGAAAAACAATGTCAGGCTTCCATTTCTCTCACATCTGACAAAATCTGAATGCTTTCCTAGTTTAAGACTAAAAAAATCTGTATACGCGTAGTCTGATTACCTGATGGTATCTTAGCCACATTTATTTATGGCTTAAAGTTGCATAATGTAAGAATATTATAAAATGTAATGGTGTCAAGATTAATAAATTAGCACATGTGATATTCTTGCTTGTCAAAGCATCTTGGAGAGGGAAACTAATGCCAATTACTTTTAGGTGAGTTCAGTAGATTGGAAGTTTGGTACAATTCTGGTATGAATCCTCTTTGTTAGTTTCTCACTAATATAAGGACAGTCCAGTGACTTGTTCATGTACTTGACTGTTATTTATTGATGATTTCTATAATAAACAATTGCTATGTATTTCCTTTTGATGTTTTCAGTTTTTATTTAGGCAATATGTGATATAGAGCTTTACTTAAGGCCATATGTGCACATTGGTATATTTTACACATTTGAAAGAAAATAGCATCATTATATGTCTAGTACAACATAGAGTACTTTTTCAAACTTTAAAAGATGATTAGAAGTCCTATCCATCATACAGTAATTATGTAGCATCTTCCACCAATAGCTATCTTAAAGCAGTAACTGAAAGCTTTGGTGGCTTTGGCAAGTAGGTCTTCATTCTGGGTTGGCCTAAAGGAATCACCATTTATTGTTAGGTAGCCAACATCAGGTTCTGTCTTTGAGGCTGGATAATGGGCTATCAATGGTGTGTCTATATACCTGTAGCTTCTGATTTTTAGTCAAAAATCTGTTAAGTTGTATATGTAACCAGTCTTCTTTATCTCTACAGAAAATCTGCAGCTGTGCTTAGGAGAATTTCTACCTAGGCTTCTAGATCCTTCTGCAGAAATCATTGTCTTGAAGGAACCTCCAACGATTCGGCCCCATTCTCCCTATGACCTTTGTAGCAGATTTGCAGCTGTCATGGAGTCAATTCAAGGAGTTTCAACTGTGACAGTGAAATAAGGCCCTTATGTTCAAGGCCACCCTAGTCTCAGGCTGCCTACCTGCTGCACGTCAGTCTGTTGTCATGGTTTTCCCCTGGGGAAAGAGAATAGGGAGGAGTAAGAATCAGATCCACACCACACCCTTGCTGCCTGTTTGAAGAAGGATTAAAGATTGCACTGTTTAGGTACTGGTACAAGAAAGCTAATCCACTAGCAAAGGCAGGAAGCATCATATTAAGGTATTGAGTTAAGCCAGAAGACCTGAAATGCCTTCGAACTTACCTTAATGCATGGACTTATTTTTAAGCCTCTTGCACCTCTTAAATTATGCTTCAGGCATAAGTATTTTTGACAGCAGAATAGAGGAGTGATTCATCAGAACCTGAACCAGATGAGCAGCTACGAGTTATTTTATCAAGCACAGTGACATTTTAAGACTTAGCCACCAGAGATTACTAATACAAGGCTTGCCTGCCTCTTGACAGGTGATGGTAAAATGGGTTGTTGATGAAGCTCCACCCGGCTCCCTGTGGGTAGAACCTAAGGCCCCACGGCAGTGAGATGATGAAAGTGGAAGGAGAGCTGCCTCTCTCCTCCTCCTCTGTTACATTTCTAAATAAACCAGAAAACCTCATAGTCCTAAGTGAGAGAAAGGAAGCGTAAAGGACTTTAGACAGGATGGCATTATGAAGCTTGACTAAATATAGCATTTATTAGTTCTTGTTAACTAGGCAGTTTTCAAAAACAGGTGTCTAAGGCTGCTACTGGCCCAGTAGAACATTTTAATCCCCTTTCTTTGATTTTAACAAATAAGGGATGTGGATTTGTAAAAAGAAAAAAAATTATCTATATATATGTATATAGAGAGAAAAAACCATTTTTAAAGGATTTGTGTCCTTTGGGGTTTATGTCTTTGGAAATTAATGTTTTAACCAAATTTTAGAGATTAATCATGGTAGGGAAGAACACACAACTATGCAGATTTTATAAATGTGCAATAAAAGTATTTGTTTTACCTTTGGTGTACAGCATGGTCCTTATTTAAGTCTATATTTTCAGTTTGGAAATGGATGGAGTTACCAAGCACCTGTCTTGTTTCAGGCAGCAGCAGTTACTGACCAGCACCTTGGTGTTAGATCTCATTTGTCACTTACATTGCATGTGAAGGTATTTACTTTGGAACCTGTCAAGATGTAGAATGAAAAAGAAGGGCTTTTTTTTTTTTAAAGTGAACTTGTGTTTTGATTACATTCATGATAGGGGTCCTTTTGTGTTTTAGAGTTTGTGGAAAATATTGTTTCCAGGGAAGTTGATTGATTTTTCTTCTCCATTTTCTTGTTTAAAATCATACATAGCACCATTTCTGACTCACTTAACCTGCCATTACTGAGTAATGTACACAGTGCTTAAGTTACGTTAGGCCACTAACTTTGACCACCTTAGTTTGTCTTGGTGTATCTGTCTTTATAATGTGAACTTTTAAACCACTGCTCCACTGGCCTTGGTTGTCTTGGTGGGCAGTTGGGAATCTACACAGGCCAATGATGTCTGCAGTGTGCAGAAATTCATCTGGATCCTCTCAGACCACCAGGGGGAGTGCTAAGAATGAATTTTAGGTGTAATCTCATTTCTTTTAGGGTTCCACAAACTAAGGTCTCATGATTTTTATAGTCTGGGTCAAGAGTGGTCTTGATTGTTTTTTCTTTTTTTTTTTTGTGGGTGGGGGCAATACAGAGGTTTGAATTCAGGGCCTCAACTCTTGCTGAATGTGCATTCTACCACTTGAGCCATTCTTCCAACCTTCCTCCTCCTCCTTCAAGACAAGATCTTGCTCTGTAACTCACATGCTAGCTAGGTGATCTTCCTGCCTCAGCCTTCCTAGCTGGGATTACAGATGTGTACCTCCGTACTTGGCTGGTTTTGACACTGTAAGAGTTAGGAAAAAGAAGGAGGAGCAGAAAGTGTAGAGAAAGAAACTTACGTGGCCCTTGGCTAAAGTGATTCAAGAGTTTTGAGTAGGATATTTCAGCATAGCAGGGGTCTTCTGGAGACTGGACACAGATTTCCATACTTAATGAGTCACAATCTAGTGTGTTCTGTTTTTGAACTCCTTATAAGAACTGAGACACTAAATTTTTACCCTACACCATTCGAGGGAAGTACGGTAGATATATTATAGCAAAGCCAAATGAATGAACAAATGACAAGGACTGAATGAGAGCCGGTAGTGTGGTGGGGGATTAATTGTGCTAGGACCTGCAGTTTATTGTAACTCAGCTCACTGTATTTCACTGTAAGACTGTATCTCATAATTTCTTAAGGTGGTCACTTGATTTATTTCCAGTTTGGGAATGTAATACATAATGTTACTGAGATCTTCACATGCATCCTTGATGTGCACAAGTGCATTTCTCTTGGCATATAACTAGGAGCAGAATTACTGAGTCAGAAAAGTGGATGTAGATACAGGTAAGTAGGTCTTTTTATCAGGGGCTACCAAACAATTTTCTAAAATTACATCAATTTATAGGTTCCATTTGCTCCAGATTCTCCTTGGTATTTTGTTGTCATTACTGTTGTTTTGTTTCTACAGTGCTAGGATTTGAACTGAGGGCCTTGAGCTTGCTGGTATTCTACTTGAGCCACACCCTCCAGCTTTTTTGCCTTGCTTATTTTGGAGATGAATCTTTTTGTCATTACTCACCCAGACTGTGACCCTCCTATTTTCACTCTACATGTAAAACATATACTAGTTCCATGGAAAGAAAAATTAGTCTAATGCATTGGAGTTCAAATACTGGCTGAGCCTGTTTCCTTGGTCTGTAGTTGTCTTTGAAGGATTGAAAGGAGAGAAAAGCTGTAGCAATGACTCAGCTTAAAGTTGTACTCTGAATAGTTCTCAAAGGGAAATTCATCATAGGTCAAGAATTTTAAGAGCTGTTCTGTCTTACATAGGGCATTATGCCTACTACATAAGTAGGTCATATCCAGGTCACCAGGGGGTTATGGTCTCATAAATGGATGTGTTCATATTAGCCAACTGACTGGACAACAATATTACTAAAGGGCTCAGGGCTTATGCAGAATATAGAAATCACCCCATAGCTGACTGTTTTAGATTTATTTTTCTTTAGTCATTTTATCAAGTGATACAAACTTGGCAGGGTCTTAAGATGACGATTGTTTTTGTTTTAATTTCCCTACTATCTTTACTGTGATGTTTTGGATGTCCATTCTCTGCTCCTTAACAGCATATCCAAGAGATTTCATAGCTTTTTGTCATGTATGAGTATGAAAGCAGAATTACCTCCAAGAGTACAGATGATTACACTAGAATTCCTTCTCACCTGTTTGTTTCAGTTTCTCTCCTTCCCTTATTCCAGACCCTTCTCTAATGTCCAGAGTCCAGCAGTTGGGAAGGAGCCACAGTATTGCTTGCACTCCCATCCATTCCCTCTTCTTGTCTCCAACTGGATTCCCCAAGAGCTGGTGTGATGGGACGGCTTATGGGGACTAAGAAACAAAGTACAATTTGGGGGGGGGGAGATGCCAGTTCTGGGGCTTGAACTCAGTGCCTCTGTGCTGTCCCTGAGCTTTTGCTCAAGGCTAGTGCTCTACCACTTGAACCACATGCTGCTTTTGGCATTTCCTGAATAGTTTATTGGAAATAATTGTGTCATGGACTTTTCTGCCCAGCCTGGCTTCAAAGGGAAATCCTTAGATCTCAGCTTCCTGGGTAGCTAGGATTACAGATGTGAGCCACTGACACCTGGCCTCTCATCCCATGTGGCTCCAACCCACATCAGCTTCCCTTGCAGTGATTTCCCTGGAGTTGATCTCAGAGGCTCAGAAAAGTATCAGATGTGTGTTTTATTGGATACTAGGAGAAATGCCTTAACTTCTAGTGGTAAAATTTTCAGACCCAAAGTTAGTACTGAGTCACATTACTTTTAGCTGTATCACATCTTGTTTATAAAGTTTTTAACTTGGAATACTAGTTGATTCACATCCCTTCATTTTTCTAATATATGTGACTACACATCTTTCCATGTGTAATCAAAGTAAAGTGGGAGTTGGGAATGTGGCTTAGTGGTAGAGTGAGGGCCCAGGGCATGAAGCCCTGGGTTCAATTCCTAAGTACCACATACACAGTAAAAGCTGGAAGTGGTGCTGTGGCTCAAGTGGTAGAGTGCTAGCCTTGAGCAAAGGAAGCTCAGGTACAGTGCCCAGGCCCTGAGTTCAAGCCCCAGGAATGGCAAAAAAAAAAAAAAGTTTGCCATATTAGTATAATTTACCATAAATCTATATGTTCATACCTAAAATCTCAGCTATTTGGGAAGCAGAAGTAGGAAGATCATGGTTTGACCCAGTCCAGGCAAATTTGTAAGACCCTACCTATATGAAAAAGTACAAGCAAGAAGGTCTGGAATCATGGCTCAAGTGGTATGTAGAGCAGCTGCCTAGCAAGTTGTGAGGTCCTGAGTTCAAACACCAGTACCACAAAAGAGCAAAACCTACATGGGAAAAGTGAGAGGTTTCATTGGTTCTGTTTTTCCTTTGTGCCAGTATTGGAGTTTGAACCCAAGCCTTCACACCCTTGCTTGTTTTTTTTTTTGTTGTTGTTGTTTTTGTTTTTGCTCAAGGTTAGTGCTCTACCTCTTGAGCCACTGTCTCCACTTAAAGGCTTTTTAGTGGTTAATTGGAGATAAGAGTCTCAGACTTTTCTGTCCAGGCTGGCTTCAAACTGCCTCAGATCTCAGCCTAGAATTACAGGTATGTGCTGCCAGAGTCATGCTAGTTCTATTTTTATTTCTCACTATGTTTCCTTTCAAACCAGGTACATAAAAACAGGCATTTTTTTTAGGCACATAGCACTTTCCTCAGAGTGAAGGTTGATTCTTACTAGCATGCAGATCACACTCCTTTTTGGACATGGCATGATGTTCATTGGCTACTTGAGAAATCCCCGGCCCTTGACTATTAAAAAAAAAGTCCTTGTGTCCTTTAGGAGAGCTGGACACACAACATTTTTTCAACAGATCTTCAGTTTGTTTCCATCTCTTTTCAATGAGAGTTGCTTTGAAACAAATGTCTTGTTGCACCTGCACACATGGGGTTCAAACCTGCAGCAGGAGCAGGTGAGCAGCTGGAAGCCAAGTCCTGGAAATGACTTAAACATAAGCACAAAAGGGACTTCGTTCTATTGGTCTCTGTTTTTTCCTTCTGCTTCAAAGCTAGTTTTTCCTTTGGTCTGGTGGAGTGTCTAGGAAAGTAAGAGGGGTGAAAAAGAGAACCATAGTATAAAGCATTGAGTTCAAGTCCTGACTTAGCCAATTACTGTCATAATCATGTTATCTAACTTCCTTAATTTCTCAGTTTCCTTATTAGTAAAACAGTAACATATGCTCTCCTGATGAAAAAAAACATCTTTCAAGATATCTTAAATGAAACTGTCAAGATAACATGCAAGTGATTTGAAGGTTTTTAAATTCTGCTAGGCTGTATGAATAGGAAACTGCACAGAGACATACTATTATAAAAAGGTAAAAGCTGGAGACTGGTGGCTCACACCTGTGGTCCTTGCTACTCAGAAGGTTGAGTCCTAGAGGATCATGGTTTGAAGCCATCCTGAGCAGAAAAATCCATCAGACTCCCACCTCTTAATTAATTAGAAAAATGCTGAGCTGAAGGTATGGCCTGATTGGTGGAGCGCAAGTCATGAGCAAGAAGGACCTGTGAGAGTGTGAGGTCCAGAGTTCAAGCCCTGTTACAGGATACACACACACACACACAACACACACGAGGTTTGCAAATTACTGCTGCACAGTCAGCTGGGCAAAGTTCCTATTGCTAGGCCAGGTGCTTGGTTTCTCATGTCATGACCTAAAATAGAGATGACAGTATTCCTTACCAAGGCCTTCAGGTCCCTCTAAAGTTAGGCTCCCCCTTGCATTACCAGTCTCACCAAGGTTTATCTGTTTTCTTCCCTCTTCATCTAAAACTGTGCTCCACCCT